AGAGACGTTGAGCAGAAATTCCCCAGTGTTGAAGAGTTCTCACAAAGTCAGAAGCTGCCAAAACTGCAGGGGGATTTCCTCTCTTTGGTCACTACGTATACGAGAGTATTCAATTATTAGTAAAATTATACTCAAGGAACAGGGAAAAAAAACACAATACTTTAAACATTCTTTTCAGTGTTGAGTAAGTGAAAAAATGTCAACCTCTTTTTATCACTGGTAACAGAAAATGCTCTACTTTGAAAACAGAGATGATGGCGCCATCTACTGCCTTTTTATGAAAAGGGGACTTGAGCGCCGTTATACGATTTACTTTACTCCGACAGCAAAAAAAAAAAACAACAAAAAATACCAACTGCTGTTATTAAAATATAACAATATTCCGCATTTAGGACTGTGCTGTTGTCCATCGATAAGACAACAAGCATTTGCATATCCAATACAATTACCAAGACTACTGTCTACCATTAAAACACATCAAATACTGGTTAAAATAATAATAATCATTCATACAATAGTTTATTATCAAACAACTTTTACTCTTACAAACAAATTAACATTCATGAAAACTGATTCCTCAGGACACAGACGACAACAGTCTTCTATAGTAGTTCTCTGTCAGTGCTTCCCACAGTGTATTTTGGGTCAGAGTTGAGCGACGCCAACAAAATACATGGTTACTGCATATAAATATACTACTTTTTTATCTTAAATTATTCAAATGAATGCATTTACTTGAATTAAACATGTAAACATTTTGTAAATACCTACTATGAGTTATTTGAATTGCCTCATGTAGCAAAGAAAAAATCACACTGCATATACAGTTTGCATCCATTGGTATGTTTTGGGTTCCTGCAGTTCTGGGGTCCATGGTGGGTTGGGTTCCCAGGATTTCTTGGCTCCATGGTTGTTTGGGTTCCTTTGGGTCTGGGCTCAAGTCGGCTGCCATCCTTCAGTTATCACAGTACTGTACCTTGGATGAGGACAGCAGCAGCACTGTGATAACTGAACCAGGGCAGCCTCAAATCCATTAGTCCTTCTCAGGCCGGCATCCACACTGCTGCAATAATCAGTAATACTAAAATAAATAAAAAAGTGATTGTTGTGCTTAACATGTCTTTTGTAGAATAGACCTAAACACACTACAGTTCCATTGTACTCCTGAAGTTCCATGTCACACTCTTTACATCAATATAAAACAAGTATAAATGTAGTAGTAGTGTAATGTCTCCAAAGGAAGTTAATAAATCAAATTCCTGCTCAAGGAAAAGCATAATTGTAGTGGCCTGTAATCACAAAACATCTAAAATATTATTTAAAACGTCCATATGCAAAGTGTTGTCTATTTTTTTGATATATTTTTCTAATGTAACATTTGTTTTTATCTGTTGTAGCTTCACCGTAAGTACGACATTAATTATTACTATTTTTCAAGCTTGAGACTGTCTGGAACGTTCTCTGACTATAATTCTCTAAACATTAATATTGTTTACAACGCCTGTTTAACAGGTTACGACAATTTGAAGGGATACAAACCTGGTTACGTATTTTTTTAATTCACATCTGCTCTATTATCTATATTATTTTACCTCTGTATTTCTTTTCGCCCAAGGCCGGGTGACGTCAGACTTGTTTTGATTGCCTGGAGTCCCGCCCCCTCCTCGAGCAGTCAGTGCGAGTCGCTGGCACCGAGCGGCTCCTCCTCCGCCCTGCGCTCATGTAAACAACTCCATTCTGCCAGATGCAACACGAGCATGTCCCACGTTAGGCATAGCACAAACACACACAATATATCCATGAAAACAGCGCACATCGCCACATACACGACTGGCTTTGTTTTGTGTGTATTTAGTTCGTGATCGTGGTGCGTAAAAGTCTCTTACACCTAATGACAACATGCACAGGGGAAGAATGAGATTATAAAATGCATGGCGAGGTCTGATGTAGACGATAGCATAGATTGAATACGCGAAAAAGGTAAAATGTTACTTATTTGTGAATGGAGCACGCTGGAAAGTCCACTGTATTCGTGTTGCAGCAAATGCAGAAAAGTTGACTCGTTCAACAACAACGTTATTACGCACACGTCTGTACATTATATAACCTTTCGGAAGGCTCTGTCATAGGCGTATAAACAGCGTGTTTCGAGCTAAAACAATGACATATAGGCCTAAGCAAGCGATATTGTTGACGCCCAACATTGTATTGCATACACACCCCTTTTCAGGGGCGAAAATAAACAACATGCTGAAATGGATCCACGCATATTGATTATATTTACGCACCTTGCATTGAATATAAATCAGATCTGTGGGCCACTTACCAGCCTTTAGCGCGCTGAAATCCTCGTGTTTACATGAATATTTTTAATGACGCAGCAAGACCACACAGAGCAACGTGATTGTCGCCATTTTTTGTTGTTATTGAATTCTCCAAAGCCATGTGGCATAAAAATGCACATGCTTAGATCGAAAAGAAGCTTCCGGACATGCACAGCGAGACGTGCAGTTGGCTCGCGGTGATAAAAGAAAAAGGTTAATCTGTCGGACTTGTTTGTCACATGGATTAGTCTGGTACGCGGTTACTTACTGACTGGAAGGGCTGACAGCTCTGGCTCGCAACAAGTCCTCCTGAAATTCATTCCGCCCGTGCTCAAAGCAACGTGCGCGCGGAGGCAGGCAGTATTTCGAGCGTCTCTCTGCAAAGCTTTGCGCAAGATTCACAAGATTCAAACCCATAAATGAACTAAAATAAGAGAGAAGGCGTGTGCAACGTGCTGTCAACAAGTGATGCACTCAGTGTCAACACAAGTGATGCAGAATGTCCAAACACACAGCCTTTAGTAATGGCTGTGATATAAACATTGCATCACTGCATTAAGTATTTTTATAAAGTTAAGGCTTTATGCAGGGGCACTATTAGAGAAGAGGGCCACATCATTGTCTCCATGATTTTCTTATTGATGACCTGTAACGTTCAACTCTAAAATGTGTCTAGTATACATTATTATACAAATGCATTCATAAGCTGTGAATGAAGATATTGACTTAACTAATGTTTAATTTTAGTCCTTTTATAGTAAATGAATGTTTTTGTTGAGTTTGTTTATGGTCTTAATGGTCAGATTGCTTCATGGGGCAAGAGGTATTGGACGTTGAACCTATTTATGGTCTGTTTGGGGCGCTTGGGACTGAGCATTTGAACTAGGTTCTAGTCTACAGAGTCTCCACTCTCATTTATGATTTCTTCTTACTTCTTCCCACTCCTTTTCTCTGACGTGCACTTGTAAATTTGTACTTGCAGCTTCAATAGTGAAGCTTGTAGTGGCACACTTGTGCTTGCAGTTGCATGTTGTAATAAATATACAAATAGGTTTATTAAAAATTATTAGGTATATATTATAATATATTAATATAATACTTAATATCACGCTTTTACCTTTTAAATGTGCTCTTATGTCTTTTAATGGCATCTTCATATATGCCTATGGACTGAGGATTAAGATGTATTCACCCCACAGCGGGAAAATTCCACTACAATTGAAAAGTATTGCTTTGTAGCTGAAATATATATATATATATATATATTTTTTTTTACAAAAAAATATAATTTATGTGCATTGTTCATGGTGCTCATTGTCCATGATTTTGGCTCCAAAGGGTCTATGTTCATCCCCTCTTAGTTTTTTAGCTGTGCTTTTGGCTTTTAGAAACTTGATTACATTCTAATACTAATGCAATATATTGGTATGTTTTACAATAAATGTCATCATTGAAAGTTTATCGAAATCATATGATTGTTTTGTACTGCACTGTAGCAAATGTAGTTTTCCATTTTGTTCATTGTAATCAACAATACTGCAAAAACAGCTCAATAACAGACACAAATTTCCTTGAAGTCCTGTTCCAAATTTCAGAATGGATGAGCTTCAGACATTTCACTGTATGTTATTCAAATAACCCATGAGGGAGTACTTTTACAACATGCAAGGCTCATAAAGTTGAATATTGTTTCTAATGGATGGATGGAAGGTTTTATTACTATACTATACTTGTAGTCCAGAACAACAAAGCCTCTGATATACAACTTCCCATTCAAATATAATACTCAGGTTTATAATGGCTTTTCACTTCAGCAACAGACCACATACAGAACGCATTCTGAAAGCCTTGGATCCATTGGTTTGAGATGGACCTCAAGTTGTTGCATGCCAGGATTCTCAAACAAAAATACATTTCAAAAAGTATAATGTTGAACAATTGGGGCGAGATACTCCTATACCATTTAAAGAAACAGAAAGTAAAACATTATTAAACTTGTGCAATTCAGTAGAAACTAATATAGTTTGTCCATGCATTAAACTTAAACTGCTGTCTGCCAAAAAAATAAAAAAATAAACAGGGCACCATGTTGTAATCTGATTTATTCACAACATCTTACTAACACGGCTGTTCCTGTTGGGACAAACAAAATGTATTATTCATTGCCAAATAGTTCGGTATACTCCAGCTCTGAAGCAGACTTTCCCCTCCTCCCTCTCTCTGCTTTTTGGACTACAACCTCCAAGAGTAAAGGAAACTACATAGACCAGACCCCATTGTGACGAAGAAGCTCAACCTATCCGGATTTTTCTTGGAGGATGCACAGCGCGCAGGAAAACAGGGCGTTCTGAAGACTCCCCCTTTCATTCGCCGACACGGAGGCGTTTTGCATCTACAGGGCCAGAGGAAAGGAGGAAAAAAAGGTCTTTGGTGAGCCTTAGCGGTACAGCAGTAGTACAACCCCCTTTTTTTAGAAGACTCCTTTAACTCTGTCAACTCTGGAGGCGAGCTGCAACTGGATTTAACCCACTGTATGCGATCCATGACAGATCCATCTTTACGCACAGCCAGTTTATTAAGGTGTAATTACGCATAAGTGAGAAACAGCGCCTGGGTGCAGTATTTGGCAACATCAGTGGCTAAGTTGATATGGCTAAGTTGTTCCGTGCTGTTATAATGGGTCCTCCCGGGTCAGGTAAAGGAACAATCTCGAAGAGGATCGCTCAGAATTTCGGGTTGCAATATCTGTCGTGCGCGGAGTTTTTGCAAGATATTGGAACGGCGAATGAAACAGGTAAATAAATACGTGTTTGTGGTGTGTGTCAACCAGCATGTCGGGCAAAGCAGCAGACAGGAAGAGACACGCTGATATATTTGGGTGTTAATATGTTTGCTCCATTGGGTCCTGCAGCGTGTAAATATGTGCGTAAGTTTCCAACCAAGAATGCATGAAATTCTCTTAACTTCTGTGTCATATGCAGGGATCATGTCACTTTAAGTTTTGTCAATTCTTTTGTCAACTGGGAGCAATTACAACAACAATGACAAAACTCAACCTCAACCAAACATCAAAATATATCTAAAATAACTCAAATATCTCTCTATAACACACAAAGCGAATCTTAAATAGCAAAGAAACGTATCTTATTACAAATTCCAAGCGCTCAGCACGCTTTTGGCTATGTTTTTAGAAAGGGTATTTGAGGACACGGGCTGTGGGTGTGTTCTAGTGTTGACAATGTGTTTAGGAAAAAAAAGAAAATAAAACAAAAAACGGCTAAATGATTATATTTTACTGATTTCTTGAATATATTAGAGGCAAGTGTGCTGGTCAAGTCCTACATAGACAAACGCATGCTGGTGCCTGACCACGTAGTGACCGGACTCATGCTGCCCAGACTGGAACAACTCAGCGGACACAGCTGGCTTTTGGAAGGTCAGATTTCCCACTGTCTTTGTGTGTTGTTACTGTTGTGTTGACTTTATCATGTATTCCAATCTTCATCATACTATAACAAGTAAAGCTGGATGATTCAACAAAGCAGAATGCAGGCTCAGTGCTGTAATTATTTTCAGACTCAAATCTGATTGGTCAAACAGGCTGCCACCCCTTAAATATCTGTGGAGTTCTTTTTGTTTAAGTTTAGCAAGGGCTATTCTGAATGCCACACGCAGAAGTTTGTCTACAAATATTATCCAGCAAAAAACTTCAATGGTTTTTCGAAACTAAAAAGTTACGCTTGCATTTACACAATAAACAAAGCTTGTTTTCATTCACTTCAGTTAGTGTTTGTCTCGTGACTAAAGAGAGGTCTGGATATTATCACCCAAACACACATTTCCACTGAACCATAAGTCAATACACTCCGGGATCTCTGTACAAACAATGTTATCCACGAGTACTACACGTGGACGGATGACTTCAAGTGTTAGTAATGTTTGTCAAATGTGTCCACGCAATTCAAATAAATACACAACAACGTGGAATGAAATATTTTCTTGGTCAGTCTTCTTCTTGTGCAAGTCAAAGTTTTGGTTTGGCAGAAGTTGTAGCAAGAGCAGAATAGAGTAGTAGTTGTGAAATAGCAGAAGTGGTGGAGACAATACAATTTTAAATGAAAGATTAGTTTTAGGAATAAAATGTACAGGCAAAAACTTACTGGCCATCATGAAAACATTAAACACAACAGCTGCTCCGCTCTTGTGCACAACACCATTATACTGTATTGTATATTATATTGTACTGTACTGCATATTTCCCCCTCTATGAACCATCATTTGACATTCCTTTTTGTTGATGGTGTCCAGGTTACCCACGGACCCTGGGTCAGGCCCGTGCCCTGAATGAACTGTGTCAGCTGGACATGGTGATCAGCCTGAACATCCCCTATGAGACTCTGAGAGAGAGGCTCAGTGACAAGTGGATCCACCCGGCCAGCGGCAGAGTCTACAACATGACTTTCAACCCCCCCAGAGTCAAGGTCTGCCTCATGACAAGAAACAAACTTACATTGATTATAATATTGAAAGTAATTTAATTATGAAAAAGGCCATTAGGAATGTATTTAATGTTCAATATAGACCTCATCATAATCCACTGTTCATAGAATTAAATTAATTTACAGTACTTGCTTGACTATAAAGCGCACCAGCTAAATTTTTTAATATCATTGAAAGTAAATTATGTCCACTTAAGCAGGGTAAATAAAACAATACAATCTGAGGACGGAACATTATCATTATCATGCTTCTAAATCTAATCTAATTCTACGATCACATATACCCACCAAAAGTACAATCACACATTCACAGCTACTGTATGTGATGCATGTTTAATCATTACAGTCTGTGGTTTAATCAGACCAGGATTATAAGGTTCTACATTTTTGTGTGACTTTTCAACTTCGACTTGAGTTTATGCAAATGTGCTGGAGCAATACAAACCTTGATACAAATTTATAAGCACTACTTTCTAAGAACAAGCAGTCCCCTGATGTATCAATGCACTAAGTTCTGAGTGTTTTTACTCAAAACAAAGAATAGTTGGTGATAACATCTTAAATATACACCAGCCACTTTGATAACTCATGTTACTTTTATAGCTTCCCTTTCCATTCTAGACTCATGCATTCTTCAATTTTTTTTCTTTGTACTATGCGGTAATTATTCATCCCTTGTGAAATGCAAATGTAGAGTAATGTACATTTTGTGTTGTATAGACATGCTTGTATGAGCCTCACATCTCCAGATCTTAGAGGCTAAGCAGTGTGAGGTCTGATTATGTGATGGGAGACCCCTGTAACTCCAGGTGCCACAGTGGGTCTGCTGAGGCTGTTGTACTGTCCGTAGCAAACGTACAGTATATGCAATATGAACCTGGTGTGATCGAAGATGGCAGATGGAGGCACTGATGGCACAGATTGTAATTAATGAAAGTGAATAAAAAATGTAATGGAACTTCTTGAAAAGGGTGTTAAATTAGTCGCTGCTACAATATAAAATAATAAAATCTACTTTTTCAAGCCTAATGCTTTTTGTTTCTAAAATGTCATATTCAATTTTTATTGCTGAGCCAACGTTTTGTTGTGTTCATTCCAGGGCAAAGATGACATCACCGGAGAGGCGCTTGTTCAAAGTGAAGATGACAAACCTGAAGCGCTCATGACCAGATTGAGGCACTACAAAGATGTGGCCAAGCCCGTTTTAGACCTCTATAAGTGAGTCTATCAATACATTCACCTGTTTTAGTTTTTTATTCATTATGCCAAATTATACATTCTCCAAGTAGTATTGAATAACAACAGGAACCATATCTTATTGTAATCACATGTTCTGAATTTTGAAAACTCAGCACAAAACATTTTGAATAGCAGAAGTTGAGGAAAACATTGTTGCAAATCTTATTCACCACTGTTTAGCTTTGATCATTCTATTTTATCTTTTGTCAATGTCAGTCAATGTCAGCTCTATTTGTATAGCACATTTACAACAACACCAGCTGCTCAAAGGGCTTCACGGGCACGAACGATGAAAATAAAAGAATACAGCATAAAATACATACACATACATGTGAAAGTAAAATGGTAAATCTCAGCTGGTGTTAAAAGCCAAGGCTTATTGTTCATTGTTTATTGGGGATTCCCATTAGCTTCCACCAATGTGGTTGCTAATCTTCTTGGGGTCCCAGTTAAGACGAGTGTATTACAATAAAATAAAAATAGATAATACATTAATCAATACAGTACATTAATCAATGCAATACATACATTCATTCATTGCCATCATGATAAAAGATCAAATGCTAAGTGAACATGAGTAAACAACACAAGGGGGAATAATGCATTATAATGATGCATTGCACATTTGATATTTGAGGTTTTTTTTGTCTTTTTTTTTTAAATATACAGAGAAGGTTGATCCCTCATCTCCCTAGGCAGCCCATTCCAAAGTTGAGCCGCTCAATGATTTTGTTCTGGGCCGATTGATGACAAAGTCTGCATTATGAGCCTGCCTAGTAGAATGGGAGTGAATCTGATTTACATATGTGATTTTTTTTAGACATGGAAATTGGTTCACCAATCAATATCACCTTTTTCAGAAATATTAAAAGGTTATACTGTAACTTATTGTGAAGCAATAGCTTACAAAAATGTGTCTTTAGACTAAATCTTAAAAACTTCCAATCATCATACACAAACAATACTCCCAACATTTAAAATTCACAAATCAATCTAAACATCTCTCTCATCTAAGTTGTTAAATTAAGAGAATTCTTTATTCGTCCCACAATCAAAAATTAAGTACAAAATCTCTGACTTTAGCATGATAAAGAAGCAAGTATAAAGTACTGTATAATTTGGGCCAGAATGTTTAAGTACAAAAAAAATCATTGGCCAAAAATCTGATTAAATTGTTAGAATAGTCTGAACGCATATATATGTCTCTGCTTTTATTGAGGGGAAAAATCCAAAATATATCAGTGAGAGATTATAGTTGAGTGCATGTATACTTATTTTTAAATGATGTGTTCTGACAGGTCTCAAGGCATCCTACATGCTTTCTCTGGCACGGACACGGACCGCATTTGGCCGTACATGAACTCCATTCTGAGCGCAAAGTTACCGGCACAGCAATCAGAATCCCACCTGCCCCCAGTGGCATGAACCCTGCACTGCGCCCTGTCTCCACACTGCCTTTCCTTTCTATTCTACAAGTGTATTTGCAAAATCAGATATGCTTCGTAAATTTAAAAAGAAGGCGTTCAATTGCTGCCTGTTTTCAAAAAGATATTTATTCTATCCCTATCTTTGGTAAAAATCCCATTTCTATTAAAAAAGCAGCTCACACAACTGACTGCTATAAATATTTAAACGTTTATAGATTTGCCTTCTGGTTTAATGTATCTCTTCCCAGGGGTAATGTGATTAGCACTGTGTGTGTGTTTGTCTGTATGTAGGATTGTGACTGGATGGACTTTTTTCCCTTTATTTTGCTCCATTTTTTCATAATAAAGCAAGAAAATACCACACAATCCACAAGTACAACAGTAATACATTCCCCGATAGAAGTAACAAGAGTAGGATGAAGAAAAACCTAAATCAAGAAGGTCCTGGGTTTGAATCCCGGTCGGAACAGGGCCTTGCTGAGTGGAGTTTGCGCGTTCTCCCCGTGTCTGTGTAGGTTTCCTCCGGTTGCAGCGGTTTCCCCTACCACTAAAAACATACATGTCTTTCATGTGCCTCCTGTATGGCGACCTCGCTCCCATCTCTGAGTGAAAAACAAATGCCCCAAAAAAATAAAAATAAATATTGCTTACTTAGATGGGATGTGATTTGGAATAACCGATTTCAAGTTTGTGTCGTTGGGGGGGCATGCGCTCGCTGAGTCCTAGTTTTATATAGTCATGTTTTTTTTAATATCATATACTGTAGAAGACAATTGCACAATATGTCTAACATTTGAGAAATATCTGCATTTGCAAATTTGTTCATATCAATATAATATTATCATTATACATACAGTGGGTTTTTTTCTATTGCAATTATCTCTGCAATAACGAAGACATACCCTCATATGCGTGGCTGTTACTTTTGTGAAAATGCAATAATGTTCTCGGGCAGCAACTGGAGTCGTCTTTCTCATGTCATGCCTGGCTTCAAAAACAGCGAGTCACAAATTGCTGATATATCACGTTTCGCTGCCTTTGTGTCGCACGTTACGACATACCATGTGGCAAGTTTGAAGTCCAGTGCACGCAGTATATTGAGCACCGATCAAGCGTAATTCTATGACTATTTCCGAATATACTGTACTTTTTCCTCCACTATAATAGCTTCTCTTGGATTTGCTTTGGATATTTAGAATAACTTGATTTCTAAATAGTGGTGGAGTTCAAGTAGAAACAGTGATAGAGCAATGTGGAGGTCATAACATTAGATTTGTAGGCGGAGCTATACATATGGGTAAATAGTCATACTATTTTAGCTTACTCTGCGCATGGTCAAGTACATTTCTTTGTGAGATTATATGCAATTGATTGTGTGATGCTTTAATGTAGTTTGAAGTGTTTTTTGGGAAGGTAATGTCTTCAAAGGTCAATATGAATGTTTTGGTTGTGTTCTTACATGCCGAGCAGCTTCATCATAATCACAAAATACGTATCTCTTATGCACTAAGAAGGAGACATGCTATGCTTCAATCAGGCTTTACGCTTTTTATGCAAAATTGTGTACATTCAAACATTACACGTGTTCAGACAAGTCTCAATAAACTTGAAAATAGTTTTTATGAAGCTCAAATGAATGATAGCTAGAGCCAAAGTTGCTGACAAGTTCCCAAGACGTCGGGTGAACACACAATCGGGGAAAAACGCCAAGAAGTTTGTATTTTGTGTTTGTGGAGTGGGTCCATAATTGTGCATGCATGTAAATATTGGGACCACCGATCAGCACAGCCACAATTATTGTGCTCAAGGGAGGAGAATGTTGACTATAGGCTACGAAACCAAACCCAAAATTGTCCTTGCTCCAGACATTGACACGACTAGTCACCAAATGGATGGATTTGCACTGTGTGTTTTTGAGGAGAGTTCAAAGGCTTTGCTCTAACGCTAAAACCAAAATTGTTTGATAAATACATCAATAATACATATATAATGTTTGGCAATCATGTTTTGGAATGACCCAAAACTGATTGAGAATTCAACATAAACGACTCAGGATTCGTCAGTATAGGTGGGTGTCTCTCCCCACTTTTTCTCATTCTCATGTTGTGCTTAGAAATAGAGCCAAAAAAACCCTACTGTGGAACTATTACAATACAAACATTCATGACGCTATGAATGGTCAAAGCACAGTTAGTGTAACATGTCTCCTTTGGTTTTTCTAAAGACTTTGCCAGCCAGATGAAATTACACTTACAGGACCAAAGTAGTTTAAAAAGAGGGTCTATTGGATGTTGCGTCTCTTTGTTTGTGGTACAGAAGGATTGCTGAGCGGTTGGCTGAGCTGTAGTGAAATGTGATCTGTCCAGAGCTGGTGAAAGGGCGTGTTGTGAGGAGAACCCAGTGGACACTCCCCACTGCAGTTGTGTAACGCCACAGAGGTTGTTTGTGTTTGAGTTGTTTTTATATGATGCTGTCGACACATGTCACGATGGATGCACAATAAAGGTTTATTGCAACATTCTCTGGTGATTTTTTTTATGAACCTGTCCAGTGAGTGTCAGAACATGATATCAAGCATTCATCATATTTTCATATTTCACTTTTTTTGTTTTGTTTAATCATTTGTTTTATCTAAACATAAATGAGATTACAGTTTAAGTAAGGGTTTGAATGGCTAAAACAATTGTACTATTTTCATAACTGTTTGTGAAAGATACATGTTTTGAAAGAAAGGTGATAGTAAGTCCATTCTCCCTTGGTCATAAATACATAAGTTCATAAGAAAAAAAAAGTAAGTGAATGAGTGAAGTAAATATTTATTATTTCCTTAAAATGATAGATGTTTGGTCAAATATTAGCTATCGAGAGCATTGGTTCTCACAGTATAGGATAAAAGACAAACAGCAGAGAGTGAGATCAAGATAACATTCTAAAATGTTTCACTGTATTTAATTTCAGTTAAATTGGGTAAAAATACTAACAAAACCACAGAAGATCACATTTTTACACTTCAGTTAGTATTTTATTTTACATTTTAAACAGCAGCGTGTCCTAGGTCTTCCCCGGGGAAGACCTAGGACACTATGACCCCGGATACTATGTCTCTCAGCTGGCCTGGGAACGCCTTGGGGTCCCCCCGGACGAGCTGGAGGAAGTGTGTGTGGATAGGGAAGTCTGGGCGTCTCTGCTTAGACTGCTGCCTCCGCGACCCGGAAACGGATAAAGCGGAAGAAAATGGATGGATGGATGGATTTTAAACAGCAGTGGGTTGTGACAGTTTTATGAATAAAAAAATGAGGAAAAAATTACTATATTATTATTTTATATTTTTTTAATATAACATTTCCACTGCAACATGTCATGCAGTTTTGTTTGTGTTTACTGTAGTCTTCATCATAACAGATGAATAGAAACAAAATTACTTCTTATCAAATTGTATATACTCAAGTTTTTAACAGTAAAAGCAGTCAATTTGATGTCTGTACATTTGTGGTCTTCATAGCTTTGTGACTTCTCTTTTCTATGTTGTCATGATTTTTTATGAAATTTTCTTCAAGTTTTGAAAATGTGAGTAGTTCTACCATAAATGAAACCCCAAAACTGGTTCTGGACTAGTTCTGGTTTTCCAACAGAGAATAGCGAGTACTAGTAACCATAGCAACACGCAGTTTACTGTCAGCTGATAGCATTTGGTCTCTTTCAACAAACAGTTTTTTTTTTTGCTGCATTTCAAGTTATATTCACCAGCTTTAACAATTACTAAGAGTGAATAAAGCTAAAGGCCCTTACAAATCAGGTGAGAAAATAATCATTTGTGTGTCAATTTATCAGACTTCCATTGGTTTGAATGGGGGCAGTCAAAATTACGGTTCTGGGATTTCCAGTACTTTCCCAATTGTGGGAGTCCTTTAGTTTAGTAGAATGATTAGACATGCTATAAATAGTAACAAAAACAGCAGGCTCCAATGGCAGGTAGAGTTTTGCTGATCAGGCCGCGTCAGCAGCTTCTGTGCACGGGTGGATTATGGACACTGATGCATCCCCTCATCTTAAAGCCCGGATCCTCAGGCGCCATCACGGAAGCTCGTTTGGACGCAATTTCACTACAACGGTGCCCCATAGCGGTGGTGAGTGCGCGTAGAATAAAAAAATAAATGCAAACAAAAAAATAAAACAATCAGTCTATATAGAAGAAGGGAGGCGTAGAAGCAGGCGGAGCGCGTACGTCTGCGTTCCTCTGCGTGACCTGATGACTGGCAGCGAATGACAAATCAAAGGTCGGCATCTGTGCGGGGTTCAAAGCGCATCTCCACCAGCGGGACAAGGCACGGGACCATGCTACAGGACGATCTGAAAGGTAAAGCACTATCATTTTCATTCATTTGTGTTGGATTCATCAATGGCCAGCGCTCGGCTAAAGCAGGTGTAAGGTTGGAGGGGTGTTATGTAACGTTGGACACTTCCCCCACAGCGCATCCTTGCTCCGTTCGCACATTCTGGTCTTTAATATTGCACAGTGTGGGTTTTCAGTTGGATTCAAAAGCTAAAGGCATGGGTGGTCAGAAAAAGGCGCTCACGGACATAATGAATGACATCATATCTGGAGTGTATTTGACCAAAGGCAGATGTGTCGTGACAGTTGCACATTCCCGGCAGTAGTGTATTTTATTAATCATAACAATCGTATTATGCGCGATGTTTAATGATAGCTGTGTAATAATCTAAAGGCACATATAGCGGCTTGTGTTGTGCTCAGCTGGACATTTTGAAAGAGGACGCTCTAGTGTTAAAGGTGTCTAATACGTCAGGTATTGGCCATGACTGCATCATCCGCATCCAATAATCTCTCATTATTTCACGTAGAAGGCGCGTGTGATAGTACAGTATCTTTATCCACCTCGACCATCTTCATCACCAGAGCACAGAACAGCTCCTCTGGCGTCACGTGACCAGCTTAACAGACCAGCTGATGCTTCTTGTGCCGTGTGTGACGTCACAGTGAAGGAGACCGTGTGCTGCTGAGCTCGTGGATGTGTCCAGTATTTCTCTGGACACATCCACATGAGGCCGAGGCTCATGCCAGTTTCAGTCACACTCCACTGTTCATAAACACTGCACCGATGCTGGTCTGGCAAATTCTTGCAGCTTTTATGTAGATGATAATTAACCAGGTGTGTCTTTTATGGGGAATGTTGAAGTGATTTGTTGCACATGAAGCCACAAATGCAACACCTCCTTTTTCAGTGTTTATAGGAAGTAAAGCTTCATATGTTTTCATAATTATAGTCAGTGGTTTTCACAGACTATTTATTTATTTGTATTTATTTAATAGTTTATTTGAATAGGGACGATACACATTAATCAACATTGCTGTAAATGTGTCAGTATTAGCTAACAGCTAGTTTCCAACTGCAGTCCCTAGGCAAGGTGTAAAATGCCATCAAAGTGCACTGCAAAAATTACAATTACATTACAATACATTACATTACATTACATGACAATATAGAGTAACTAGTTAAAACATTTCAATCTAAAACACGTTATTAAAACATATAAAAGCAAGTAATGCATCATGAGTGGTTACAATCTTGATTGTCCAATAACCAGGTTTTTAACGTATGTTTAAAAGTCCTGTGTGTGGTGCTATTTCTTATATGGACTGGGATTGTGTTCCAAAACTGAACGGCGCGCACTGAGAAAGCTGATTGGCCAAAGGAACTTTTTCTTAGTGTGACTATCACAACATTGTGATATTGCTGTGAGCTACTATAACCACAGCCATCAAACTTTTACTACAGACTTATGGTCCACAGACCCACTGACCCAGCCTGCTTTTACCACACCATCAAACACATTTCCTTTCGTACATGTAAGGAAATAATAATTGACCAGAGTTTACAGATGGCTAAGGCCAGGCTACCGCTGACCACCAGTCATTGAGGAGAGTTCAGAAGCTTTGCACTAACGCTAAAACCACCAGTCATTCATTACATGCACATGCACATACTGTACATGATTTTCAGCCTCAGCAGTTTGGGCACATCACCCATCTCCATGAAACATGCTATAACTTGTATTTTATGCAGGTGATAATGTACTGTTTGCTGAATTGTGCGATTCCACCAATGTAAATGTTTGTTTCAATCAACCAACAGTTGGTCAACAAGACAATTCAAAGTGCTTCACAAGAACAATTTAAAAGTCAGATCCAAATGCATTAAAACATTAAAAAATGAAAAAGGCAATACAGATACATCAATATACAACCATGTTTGATTTAAACAAAAGCATTAAAGTATTGTTAAAATGAGTTTGAAAAGAGATTATCAGTACAAATTATGATCAGTTGTATGCATAGTTAAACAGATGAACACAGTATTTCACCTTCTATAAACATTTGGGTTCTTGAATCCCTCAGCAAAGAGTCTTTATGATTATCCCATGCATTTTGTGAAGGTATGAGCCGCACTTTACACACAATACTCACAGTTTATTTTTATTTTTATGAACTCCATTATTTATGACAAACATAAAAAGTTTTAATATCTGAACAGACACAAAGGCACTTTCTCACATCTTGAGAAATTGGCATTAATCAGCAGTAGCTACAGGTGCACAGGAAGAGTTTGGACTTGTTTCTGTGGTCTCAGAGCTTTCCTCCCAAAAGACTTTCCCAGGCTAATGTCCTTGTTTCCCCGTTTCCGAGCGGGCCGGAGCTCTGTTGCCAAGGGACCAGGCCGGAGAAAGAAGCATGCCATCCGCTGCTCATGTTTTGTCTGAATATACACACAGAATATGTGATGGAACAGAAATAGACCTGCATGAAAACTGTTTCTGACCTCTAACTTCATCTTCGTACTAAAGTGGTCAAAAGTATCAATTAAGATATTAGGCAAGGCGGGGTTTATTTGTGCAGTTCATACACAAGGCAAGTCAAAGTGGTGAACAAAACAAGACAGAAACAGTTAGGCATTAAAAAAATAGTATATGGGAAAAAAACATCAATTTTAAAGATACGGATATATTAAAGGTTTGTGGCGCAACCTATGTGGAAGCCAGATCCCGTCCGACCCCTGAAGCTAAACTGTGATGGGACACCTTTGAGAACACCTGCTCTTTTTAACAATGTGGAGATTAATATGACAATAGGGATTGTTTGTTTTATCTAAATCCCCAGTTACTGAAATATACAGTAGCTATTCTTCCTGGGGTCTTTATGTACTCATCCATGTTTTGTTGGCATGACAATGGAAAAATATGCTAATACAAAAATACAGAAGTTTTACAACAAAAACACTCAGTAATCTAATAACCTAAACATTAATAGCCACAGCAAAATCAATAACAATGTGAATTTAAATTCAAGTTTATTTCTAAATTACATTAGTAAATATCATATTGCCTGGACAGACAGTAGTAGTATATTTTCTTAGGGCACAAGTTTTCTTCTATATCTTATACATGATCTTATGCATGATCTTATACAATATGAATAAAGGTGTTTATTAAGAATTTAAGTTGCAAAATGAGGCCTGACGGTAATGTTCAGGCTGAAGTCAAGACTGCCTAACCCCTAAAAACGCGAACTTGGCACGCGAGATTTGCCTCAATATTCTCGCCGTATAGTGGGCACATTTGGGGTGAAGCTTTCCCTTTAACTCCACACTAGCGCACGCACACACACACACACACATACACACACACACACACAGACACACGCACACATACACCCCCACACACACACGCACACACACACACGCACACCGATACACACACACGCGCGCACACACACACACACACACACACACACACACACACTGGCACAAGTGCAGCAGCAGCAGTAGCAGCAGCAGCAGCAGAGGCAGAGGCAGCATCAGCCTGTAGTAAAATGCAGCTCTTATGAGAGCGGGTCTACACGGGACTGTCTCCAGCCGTGGTGCCTTATCACAAGAGCGGACATGTGCGCGCGCTGAGGCACATCCCACGGAACTCCTTGGCCGGGTCTCGAGTTTGCGCGTCGGGGATGAGCTTGCTGGGGGCCTATAAGAAGAAAAGCAGTTATGACGGCTATGAATCTTTGCAGTTGGTCGATAGCGGAGGTGATAGCTTCTGCATCGGGAGAGGGAGCAGCGGAGGAGGAGGTGGTGGATTGGGGCTCGGAGGGTCCATCGCGGCTACCCTAGGACCAAAGCCGACCCCGCTGCAAGAGGAGGACTGCAGCACCATGGACAGCGCAGGTAAGGACGAGGGGCAGGAGGGAGGGAGGTGGGTGATACGCGCGAACAGTAGTATAGCTCACAGCACCGCAAACAGATAATGTTGGACACATGCAGAGCTGTGTTTAGGACTAGAGAGAGAATCGGCATGTAAAACAATACCAGCAGCCATGTTGTGTTGTGGAATGAAATTCCATGGGAGGACTCAAACTGAGTAAGACTCAGACAAAGGTTTGCACTGAGTATAATATAGTTACTGCATGATTAGATACACAGACCCGACTGACATAGTGTATTTTTGGCCTTTGGTACAGTACGTGGAATTGTCCCCGTCAGCAATATTGAATCATTTGGCGAAGAAACAGAATAGATATGATTAAAGTTTAATCCTCCAGGGTCTATACTCTTATTGCACTACCCACAAGCTCAGCAGGGCAGGGCCTGGTTTATACTGTGATGGGGTCCACCTGGGAGGTCCAGGTGTCGCTATGGGGCGACTGTAAAGAGCCAAACTGTTGTTGTGTCCTTTGGGAAGACACTTCACTCACATTGCCTAGAATGAGTCTTGTGTCCGCATGAATGGTTGATGTTGGTCAGAGGGGTAGTAGTAGAGTAGAGTAGAGTAGTGGTTCATCACCATTAATGCACCATACCCTGGTGATGAAGAGTGATGTCCTTGGGCTAAGGAGACGATGGGGAGGAGGTGGGTTGCTGCATGAAATTAAAGGTTAGTGGAAGAATGGTTGAAGCACAGTTAAAATGGTTAGTCGAGGCACTGTTTACATGCAGTAGGTGGGAGCAGACACTGATTTGCAGACTGCAGGTGTATGTATTAGCTGAGAGATTTGCACAGGTCTGTACTGTGTAAAAGTGGGAGGTTGAGGTGAAAGAGGTGAGATAGTGACTACAGAGATATTAAATACTTGTCATCGTGTTACAGAATACTTAATACCTGCATTAAAATGTAAATTGTACTATATGACAATTATGCATTGTTATCATGACCTACTCAATTCTGAATACTTGGAATTGACCTACATCTGCTGATATACATAACTATATTGTTAATAAAATGCATTTTAGGATTAAAACAACTTTGTTTTTTAATATGTTTGTTAATTAGTAATGTACATGTTCCTAGCCTATATGTTTGAAAGCTAAATTGCAAAATCCATCTTCCATTGAATTGGTTAAACTCTCAATACTGAGTTTAACCAAAACTGAGTATTCTGAATAGCACACATTTTTTGCACTTTTCCAGCACAGCAAAGGAGTTAGAATCTTTATATGGCTTATATAGATATGTTTTCTTCAATACCATCATGGAGGATCTCGTTCTTATCTTGAAATATGGGTCACAAATTGGGTGACTAAGGAAAAAAAAAAATGGGAACCTTGTGTTGAAGAAATGTGTTCCTTTATTAACACCCAAGATGGCTACTCAAAATGCCATGGCAACAGAACCCATGCTCCCTCTAGCCCCTTACATAGTCTGTGGTCAGACAGTGTGAACCTGATGGTGGTATTGTGGAAAGAGATCCTAGTATTGCATCGCAGCTCCAGGAGTGCCCTAAAGATCCAATTACTACAAGGTTTACACTGGTTACCTGATTCTATCTTTTTATCATTCTTTTACAAGGTGATTTTCCCACAAGCAAAGTCAGTCTATGGCACAATTGTAGTTTCTAACCCAGATAAGTCCCATGTTTCCCCACAGGTTTATAGGACTATGGTGGAAGATATTATTCATAGCCTCTTTGACGGAAGCCTTAATGGCATCAGGATGGGTCAAATGCAGAGGATAAAGTGCCTTACAGGGATAAATTGCTCCTTTACCTTACCTTTATTATTTTGTAGATTTTTTTTGGAGTAGGTTTTAAATGTTGTCTTTGTGTATATGACAATACGACACAAGCAAAATATCACTTAACTTGGCTTAAGTGATGTGCTATACAAACACACTTGCTATACTGTGCTATACAAACACACTTGCCTTGCCTAAATGACATTATGGGTCAGATGCGCAAAGTACATTTTCACATGAATGGAAAAATCTTGCTAACTTACAGCTATGTCAGCACATTGTTGTACTGACACAAACAATTATGTAAAAAGTAGGCTTGGGAAACTGCATACCTTTTGTAAATCTATTTGATTTCGGCCTGCTTTTCAAGAACATCTGCAAACACACATTTTGATAAAGGTCTACTATGAACATATTATTTTTGTTTCAGCTTCCCAAATCCAATTGCGTGAAGCTATAAGACTATAATGAACTCATCAGTCAAAGTCTTAGATTAAAACCAATGTCATTAAAGATTGTAGCTCAAGGGTATTCTCTGGATATCTTTATTTTTTAATCATTTGCCGCTTCATTTAACTTTCTCAGAGTTTAGTACTTAAATATACGTGTTAATATGCAGCCATAATAAATAAGGCAGGCCACGTATCTCCCCAATGCACACAAATCTGATCTGTTTGGGGAAAGAATGCACATCTGACGTTGTTCTCGCTTCTGAAATTAAACCTGAAGTTATGTCTTTAGCTCCATACACAGATCATTTCATTCACACTGAAAAAAAACCTTAACGCACGGTTTTATGTGTTATTATGAGCAACTGTGGTAAAGAGAATTTCCCCCAGGATCAATAAAGGATATATCTACCTTCAAATCACATTCATTACAATTGTGTGCTTGTGTGTGACTGGAATATTTTCAGTTCCTTTGTGTGTGTTTTATCCTCACTGTCACCGGGCACTTTCACTGATGTGCCGTAGCAGTGTGAATCAGGCTGAAATAAGTCTATATAAATGTCAGTTATTAAAGCTTTGGTCTCTTTTTCCCTGTTGTAGGTTTTATTGCAGTAGATAGACTGCGTTTGTGGTGTTATTTTAACCCTGGGACTCCCAGAATCATCAGGTACTAGAACTCCCAGAGCTGTCTTTCTGATTGCTCTCATTCAGACACAACTTATTTTTACTAAGTGATAAATGGTGAATATACTTTGAAATACAGCGTTTGTTGAAAGGATAAATCCTTACTGATGCAAGTGAACAGTGTGTTGCTATGGTAACTAGCAGTCGCTCTTCTCTAGGAGAAAACCAAGGTCAGCTCAGAACCAGAACCAGTCCAGGATCAGGACATTGAAAAAGGGGCTTCAACTGACATTTGTTGCCAGGCAATGAGAAATTGTACATTCAATTTTATGGAGCTAAAGATAAAACTACTCACATGAAAAAAGATGATTTTATGAAAAAAAGGACTAATAGATACAGAAAGAGCCAAAAAGTTCAGAAGACCAAATAAGAACATGAGTTGAGTAATTACGCGTCCAAAACTAAAGACCGTCAAAATGACTGCTCTGTGAGTTAGTGTTACACGGATTATAGAGAATTTTGTTGGATAAAAAATAACTGAAAAGAAATAAAATATTCTGATTCTAAGAATGTTAAGATAAAGTTTCTTCAAAAAGGAATCTATTACAATACTTTAGTAATGAATATTATACTCTGGTGCTCGCCCTGTTCTTGTCAGAGCCTCTGGGCCTGAGTTGTTTGTGGCTGTAGCTGGAGCTATAGGCCTCTTGCTCACACTCCCACACCCATCTGTGCGCAGACACTGAGCAAACGACACAGTGGTAACACCCTGAGCGCTAAGAATAATGCACAAAACAAGTCAGACTCATGCACAAAGTAAGAACTGCTCTGTTGTTTTAGGTCACACTCAGATTTGGAATTATGTTATGTTATTATGACTCTGGTCTGTGAAGGGCGGTATATATATAAAGATTACTTACTTACTTACTTATGTTGGAATCTTAAGAATACTTATTTTTTGTTCATTTAATTAAGATGTGTTTAACTTGTAATATGTATCTGCTATTGTCTAAAATAAAACAAAAAAGCTAATTATTCTCAGGTTGTGTCCGAGTATCAGCTCCATTTCTAACAAGGAAAGAATTTTGAAACAAGGCTGTTCACCTGAATATTGACAGCCATGACGCACACATGACTGTTTTGTGACCTGAAATTATGATTAAAACCCACACAAACAACTAAAACACGAATAAACAGTTTTAAGGCAACAGTTTTCTTTAGTTTACGGCAAGGAAATAGCTGTGAATAAAATCTATACAATGAGGGAGATGTTAGGGAATAGGGGTGACTTTCAGCTTGGATTAGCTTGGATTACCTTGGATTTGCAAATGTATTGATTAGTAGTATTAAAAAAGACGTTTTAATATCAAATGGACAATCTTTAAATATACACATTGTTTCTAATGGGAGAGTGTTGAGAATAATGAACTAATTAGTACAAAATAGCCATTTTTGGGAGCATGTTCCTCTCTCCCATTGCATGTGTCTAATTACACACTTCCTGTCTCCTCAGCAGCATGTATAATTAAGCAGATTAAGCAGTCCGGGTTGACTCCGCAGCCTTTCCGGTTTAGTCTCAGCTTTGTGTATTTTGGTACTTTTACTTTATTAGCCCGCCAACAGGGGGCATTGTAATTTCCTCTGTGTGTGTGTGTGTATTTGTCTATAGGCAGGAAAGTGTAAAAAGTGCTTGACAAATTGATCTGTAATTATGTGTGGGTATGTGTGAGATGCGATGATAGCAAGACACACACATTTCAAGATGATCTATGGTGCTGGCGGGGTATGTGCTCTACGAGTCCACATTCTAGTCTTTAGTATGCTACGACAATTCAGAATACAAAGGCATTGTGATATTTGGTCATGCAATATGTTGTTTTTTTATATGGGACCAAAAGCAAAAGTGTTTTAGGTGAGTGCAAAGCTAGGACAGCTTTTTTGTTCTGCTATTTTAAGGTTTTGCTTTCAGATTTTTAACATGTTTCAATATGTTTGGTATAATCTTAATATTTTATTGAAGATGTAATAAGGGTGTACATATACAAAAGTTAGATGTATGCATGAGTATTTATTCTCTTGGGTTCAAAACACTTTGCCATCGGCCATTTTCGTTGCATTTCTTTGGAGCGTGTATTTTTCTTATTGACTGAAACAGCGATAATGGATGGTTGCCGGAAATATAAGAAAATTGCCCTAGAGAGCTGAAATACTGTAGCACCTGACAGCAAGGACTTGTGAATTGACTGATGACATGCGGTCTCATGCTCACAGAATTGACACAGTCATGTCATGTGGAAGTGTGAAATTGTCAGTATAGCTTGGGTTTGTTTTGCAGATCATACAAGCCAAATGTTTTCAAACTCCTCTGCAGTGAATCACCCTTTTGTTCAAACGCCTGAGGAGAAGAAAAGCTTGTGTCTCAAATATAACAAATGGGGCCAACAACGACAGCTGAAGAAAGATAATAGAGGCAATTGCCAAAATAAATTCAGAGTTTGACTATCTTCTTTGTCAGGACTATTTCTTTGAGCAGCCTTCTTCCAAAAGCCAGTTATACCTCTAAAATCTTATTGAAATCGTGCAGTAAAATCTTGCCAGAGTAAATTCACAGCAGCAAAAGTGGGTCACGGAAATTAGCGCCTACTGGGAATTTGTGAGACAGAATTTGCTGCATCATCTCTGCAGGTTTGTATTTACAAGTTATGAGTCATGTCTTTGCGGGCCGTGCTGGATAATGTTCCTACAGTTTACCTTGTTTAGTTTAGATGCATAAGGCTAGTGTTCATTTGAGCTGAGGTTCATGTTATTGTATACTTTATCCCATATCCATATAGGAAAATGTATCCAGTGCATTTGGCCCAGCCTGCTATGCTACTAGGGCAGAGGTGTCCAAACTTTTTCGTGAGAGACCCACTTTGTAAATAATGATTTATAATAATACTATTGGACAGAGCCTTTGCCATTGCCGCCCCAACCCTCTGAAACTCACTCCCACTGCCCAATAGAAACTCAAGACTCACTACCAAACTTTAAATCTGTACTCAAAACACATATTCATGCAAGCTTTTCTGTAAACCCCCTTTTTCCATTTTTATTTTATTTTAATCCAGATGTGAAGCATCTTTGAGTGTCCAAAAAAGTGCTATACCATTTTGTTGTATTATTATTTTTTTTTTTTATTATTATCATCATCATCATCATTATTATTTCATGATGAAAATTAAAAGTCCAAGGTAAAAACAAACTCAGAAATCCAAATGAAACACAGGAACAAGGACATGACAAACAAAGACATGGACCAGCAACACATGAGGACGAGCACATGGTACATATAGACACGGTCAGCACTAGATCATATACGGAATCGGGACGGAAGCGGAAGTAAATACTGTATAACCAACTACCTAAACTAATAGATCCATGAATAAACTTTACCAGCCATTCCCATAGAATCACCCCAACCCTCCCTTAACCCTTAACCGCAACCATCTTACTCAGACACTTAAAACTTAACCAGTGACCAACTTAAGGACTTATTACTCTAAAACTAATTCAAAAGTAGGATTTTTACGTCCGCTTCCGTCCCTATTCCGTATATGATTTAGTGCCGACCATGAGCACAGGGTACATATATAGACACAGAGAGACACAGGTGAAACACATCAGGGCAGGGCAGCCAATCACACAGAGGAACAGGATGGGAAGTAAAACTAAAAATGAACCCGCAGAGAACTAATGTCAAAATATAATCGAATTACAAAATAACAAAATCAACACCGTGACACACATTGGATAAATCAATTGAATGGTGGTTGTTTCTTCACAGATATGGATGCCAACTATGGAGGGGGGCTGTTGGACATGGTCAAAGGAGGAGCAGGGAAGTTCTTCAGTAACTTCAAGGACAACCTGAAGGACACTCTGAAAGACACGTCCACCAAGGTCATGCACCAAGTTGCCACGTAAGTCTTTCAGTTCTTTTTATATTAATTTATGTCAATTAAGTCCAACAATATTGTTACATGTACAACGTTATTCATTCAATACAACAAAACAGGGTTACTTTATGTGGAAAATGTTACTTAACTTTAGGAATCAACTAAAATGTCACTCTTACTTTGTTATTTTGCCGTTGGCGAGTCTCAAATAGCCGCATAATCTGTTGCGGTTTTTGTGACACACTGTTGTTCAACAGTATTGCATGATTTCTTGCGTGACAAAATTGTGAAATCCTTGATCAAACAACAAATGACAGAAATATGTTTCAAATGGATGTCAATTTCAATAATTCCTCCAGGATTTAAATCATCTGGCATCCTTCCAGCTTACTGTCTTGTGCCACTCACATTGTGTGTGCGTGTGTGTGTGCGCAGGAGAGGTCTCAGACTGGCACAGCCCTGTCAGTGCGGTGGTGCACTGGGCATAAAGCACCTCTGTAGAGTTGCACTCTCAGGATGCCCATATATGGACTTCCACACATGGTTACACCCACATGTAACCGGGTATTTTTTAATACCCCCCCTCCGTTAATAATTTTTTTTTGCCATCCACACATAACGGAACATCTGCGTTTTCAATCACAATCATTACATTCCAAACATGTGCGTCCGGTGACGTCCTGCGTTGGGGAAAAACACAGAAGTGGGCGGAGCTTTGATGCCGGTACTTCTGTAGCTGCACTTGGGGCGTTCACACCGCACTTAACTTCGGCGTCAAAAGCGTCAGGTTTCCATTGAAAGTGAATGGTGAAGCGCGTCAGGTGAAGCCGAGAGCCCCGGCGTCACTTGACGCGCGTCAAAAGCTTCAAGAGTCGCGCGTACTACGCGCTCACTTGAAGCTTTTGACGCGCGAAACGCTCGCGTATCACAACAATCCCTTTGACGCCGAAGCTGAGCAAAGCTGAGCTTTTGAAGATTTGACGCGGGCTTCAACCAATCAGGAGACGAGGAGCAGCAGCAGCAGAGGGTCTGTCTCTGTCATGAAGAGAAGTCATGTATCTACTGCTGCTGTTTTATTGTCATTATTGTTATTAGTAATATTATTTGTATGAGTAGTAACATTCTGAGTAACAAAAATCATTGTATACATGCTGTGTAGTAAACGTAGTTTATTTAAAATAAGAACAGGCTGACGATGAGTCTGGCTCAGAGCAAGGCAGCTCCGAGCGGGCGAGAGCCGGGGAGAGGCAGGGGAGAGGCGGGAGAGCGAGAGCCGGGGGAGAGGCAGGGAGAGGCGAGAGCGAGGCGGGGAGAGGCGAGCGAGAGGCAGGGGAGAGGCAGGGAGAGGGGGAGAGGCGAGCTCCGGGGTTTGAGAACTCAGACTGGGCGAGTGACATGCGGAAGTACCGCTGAAAGCGAAACTCCTCCGTACGCAGCTCCTGGAGTAAATGACGGAACTCTGCAAACACTGCAGCCTCTCAAGTCTGTGGTGAACCCAGAACATGTTTTGTTGAAGCCCTACAACAACGTTATTTTGCTTTATATAACAAATAAAGGCTCGCTGCTCATTGAAAAATCCACCGCTGTCCTGACAACAGACAACAGAGAAGCTCCTCCCACCGGCGTCAGGCGCGTCACTCGCGTCAAAAGCTTCAAGCACCAAAATGACAAAACTATCCCGGCGTCAGTTGAAGCGCGTCAAAAGCTTCAAAAAGCTTTTGACGCGCTTCAGCAGTAGATACATGACTTCTCTTCATGACAGAGACAGACCCTCTGCTGCTGCTGCTCCTCGTCTCCTGATTGGTTGAAGCCCGCGTCAAAGCTTCAAAAGCTCAGCTTTGCTCAGCTTCGGCGTCAAAGGGATTGTTGTGATACGCGAGCGTTTCGCGCGTCAAAAGCTTCAAGTGAGCGCGTAGTACGCGCGACTCTTGAAGCTTTTGACGCGCGTCAAGTGACGCCGGGGCTCTCGGCTTCACCTGACGCGCTTCACCATTCACTTTCAATGGAAACCTGACGCTTTTGACGCCGAAGTTAAGTCCGGTTTTATTTGCTGCTCTCTGATGTGCAGGAGGTTCGCTGCTGCGAACAATTTTTAAGGCAGTAAGAACCATCCTTCTTCAGTGATCCGAGGTTGCACGTTTTGTTTGTTGTTGTTTTGGGGGCATACTGTGACGTACGAAAACGCAAAACTCCGGTTGTCTCTGTCTACACGCAAATGCGAACAGAGTTTTCAAATATATTCGTTTATGATGCATTGTCATGTGGATGACAGGTGCAAACGAAGATAAATATCTGCAGTTTTGCAGATACCCGGCTACGTGTGGACGGGGCCATAGTTTGGCCAGTGTAATGGGGGTGAACGCAAAACTTGTGATGCCAATTTCAACAATTAATGGCATCGCAGTGACTGATTATTTTCACCTGCTCAAGGAAATCAACTTGGTTTTTGAAGCGTTTCCTTGTACAATAATGCTAATTGAAGGCAACTAATTGGAATGTATGATGTTGGCTGTACCCCCTTGGTTTACATTACCTCATGTTGAATGTATTTCAAAAACACCAGCTGGATTCTCCTATCCACTGTGCATGTGAAGAAGATACTTTAACTTTCAGAAACATGCAGCCTTGCTTTAACTCTGTGTTTACATTGAGATTGCATCCTGTTATTCCAATCCTTCGCTTGTGCCTCATTTTACAAACCCAAATTTAACTTGTGGCGGGGTAATGAATGTAACACAATCCACGTGTCATTTGTAAAAAAAAATTATAGGCAGAAAGGACAAAGGTATATTGGTAATTACACAACTAACAACAAAAAGTATTTCTGATGAGCCAAGTTAAAAAGTGATATACAAATAATCCGAACAGCATCAGATCAAGAGTCAATACCTATAAAGTAGAGGGTTCTCAAATTAAGAGATTGCTAGATGATGTTAAAACCATATTCTACAAGCTTTTCTTTATAAAGATTATTTTATTAAGTGAGAGATTCTGCAGTGGGGTTGATTTCACAGATATTTCCCTGCCCCATTTTGAAGAAGCCCACAGGAGGCAAAAGTGGTGGCACATACTGTAAGTTTCAACGGCCGAGATAGGCGTAACTACGTCTGTTAATACTTACAGTTTATGGGTCAAACCAACTGTTCAATGGGCGGCACGGTGGCTGAGTGGATAGCACTCTCGCCTCTCAGCAAGAAGGTCCTGGGTTCGAATCCCGGTCGGACCAGGGCCTTTCTGAATGGAGTTTGCATGTTCTCCCCGTGTCTGCGTAGGTTTCCTCCGGGTACTCCGGTTTCCCCTACCACTAAAAATATGTCCAATAGGCATGTCTGGCATGCGCCTCCTGTACTGGCAACCCCCGCTCCCATCTCTGTGTGGAGGGAGAGATAAATGCCCAAAATCAACAATTGTAAACCGCTTTGAGACTCAGATCTGCAGTGAAAAGGCGGTATATAAATAAAGATTACTTACTTACTTACTTACAATGTCATAAGGATTTTATGATAAGGATAGTAAAAGATGCATCCAAACTGAGAAGTATAGTTTTGGACAGTGGTGTTATTGCAAACATATTTAAAAGTACATGAGGTATAGACAATAAATATGTATAGGGAGAGTTTATAATCCCATAATCAGCAAAAAATACCACCACAATCTTTACATTAGTGTTTGCATCCTGCTCTCCTCCTGCTCTCCTCCTGCTCTCCTCCTGTGTCTCCTCCTGTGTCTCCTCTCTCGGGCCAGGCTGAATTATTCATAGCAGTTCATTGTGCCAAATGACCAGTGCTCTGCTGATACACAGGGATTCATTTCACTAGGGTTTCTTTGTTCTTTCACCAAGGTTTCTTTGTTTCATACTGTCATTTCTACACTTATACTGTGCAAGGTGTAGGTATGTCCAGTTCTCATTGTGAAAATTCAGTTTTTGACGTTTACAACAAAGTTTTTATACACTAATTAATGCCGTACTGTATATACTATAAACATTTAATTGCACTTTTTTCTGATATACTCTATGCAGTTAAGGGTAGATTTGCAAATTGGTTTTAATTTGTTTTCGTTCGTCATTCATGTTTTGAGGTGATTCCTGCGCATGCCGTAAAATATTTTTGCACTTGTATTGAGTCATTTGGTCAATTGAAATGATCTAAAATAAGATTTTCGAAACTGCACATCATTTTATATTCTGGTAACTTTTATTTAAATTAATTGTTGAGCTATGTATTTACCCTAAATGTTTAAACTAAATAATACTGTGTCATATCTTTTTTAATCATATCTTGGGAATCAATGACAATCTTCAGTTTAGTGTCCCACAAGCCCCACTTTGGGAACCACTGCTATAGCCGAAACATTCCATGAGGAAATACAATAAAAACTTGGCATGCTGTTGGATAATTACCATAATCATTTGAGTCATTTGAGTAGGTGGGTTATAGAACACGGCGTGGGAAAGGTGACATAACACGCAAAAAATAAGAAACTCAAAAGGCTCCAACAAAACTTCATAAATGTCGCTGATTGAAAAAGTCACAAGAATTCAAAATATTGAGTGAGTAACAGTGAAATCATTTTTACGGCAGAAATCAGCTCTACTTATGAGTCATGTAATCGTGACCGAGTGGGTACTCAAGCTTTACAGTAAAAAGGTTGAGGCTTCGATCCCGTCTCCGCCCTGTTCTTTCAGTGTGGAGTTTGTATGTTAAGACTAAGCGATCTGTTATTTGTCCCACAGTGGGGAAAATTCACAAGTTACAGAACAGTAGGAATGAGGAGCACACAGCACAAGATGAATTAATAACTATATACTAAAATAAAATAAATAAATAAAACTACATCCAACCCTAGCATAAAAATAAACAGTATAAAATCTCTATCTTTATCATGACAAAGAAAGAAGTCATAAAAACTCTGAATTTAGCATAATAAGGAGCAAGTGTAAAATGCTCCGTATGCTACATGTACATGTTAGCAGCCTGAGGGTCTGGGACAAATTGACTCAGTAAAGCGACAGTCACATGTGGTTCTATGTTGTACATTCTGATATGTTTTTCCTGTGTCCCCACTACCCCAAACAAGCACGATAGTTCAAATCTCTCAGCTCTGGTAGCTCTGACCAAGAGCATCAACATTCCTGGAGAAAGGTTCCCGGCTGCTGCACTGTGGCAATCACAATGCTCTTGACAGTTTGACCTGTAGTGGCATTAGTTAGTCTGGGTTAGTCAGTCCTGGGTTAGTCAGTCCTGGGTTAGTCCTGATCCAGGTTTGGTTCAATCCATAGACTTTAAATATTTGCGGACGTAGTGATGCCTATATCCCCCGTTGAAATGCATGTGTGGTCCTCATGGAAGTTTTTAAAATGGCCTTGACTTGAGCAGCCCCTCCCACAAGAAAAAAGTGAAAAACCACTTTTTGAGCGGAGGCTTTATCATGCCCAAAAAAAGCCCCATGACAGGAAGCCCATTAGCATTGACACACATCTGGAACATAGCACCTGGAGAATTTTTTTTGAGAGGAAAACAGGTGCCATAAGAATTCATTGGATAATTTCTTTTTTCCGGGTACAACACCACCAGGAAGAAGTCAGATTACAAGCATGTCAGCGCACATGCTCATGGACCCTTTTGAGTTGAGACCCGCCCCCTATGGTTCAATCCCAACTCATTCCCAAGTGAACATATAGTTACCAATACAAAATCCCATGTCAGTTTGTGTGTATAGTATGCAACAGCTCTATTGTTGGCCTCTCATCGGTATTCAGCACCAGTCCTCCTGAATAATTAAACTAAGGTGACCTGTTGTTTGTTTACCTGGATGACCAAGAATGTTTGTGGAGAAACCAATCTACCTCCGCTGTTTCCTGGAGGACTTTAGTGTCCTTGGTGACCCCACTCCTTCTATCATCCAAACACCAACCACAGACCGCCATAAACCAGACACAAGTCATCACTCATGTCTGTCCTTCTGTGGACACGAACTATCTCGGGGCCAATGTTATTCTTTTATGTTATACTGGAGAAAACCACATTTGCCAACACAGATCAGAGAATCAAACATTTTAAACACAAGAAATACAACAGAAAACACATTGGTATTGGTCCAGTATTGGTATTGTTCAAAAGTCAATTTACTTCTGAATGATATCTACTTTTTGTGAGTTTCTCCTGTACACTATAGTCTCAGCTCTAATTATAAGGCAACAGTAGGTGCACTCTTGGCAGGAGTGGGAAAAACAGCTCAGTCAAATTGTTGCTGAGTGAGTTCAGCTGTGATGGCTTTGATGGCGGCTCTCAGCTGCACATGTCACAGATGCTGCTGTCTTTGATCGTGTCCGGACAGTTTGGCACATGGAGCCTCGACTTCATCCCAGCTTCAAAGACCTCTGCCCGTTTGTGTTCATTTCAAATTATTGTAATGTTAAAAAAAGTGTCAAATGTCTAAATAAATATAGCATACTACTTAGTTAGGTTTTATAATAACTTTATTCCGTATTTTCTGGACTATAAGATGCACCGGTATATAAGCACCACCTTCATCAATGAGGCGCTTTGTGTTGCCTCGTGTAGGAAAGGCGCTCGACAAATAAACGTTGATTGATTGATTCATTAATTTAATGTTTTAATAATTGGTCACAACAGAAGGTTCTGGTCCTCCGCATCGCTATATAGAACTAACAAGAACAAGTAGCTTACAGTCCGGGAATAACGGTAATTGAAAAGTACATACAACTTTCCTGGAAAAACTGATTATCATGGATCCCTGGCAAACAAAGAACATGAAAAAATTAAGGATCACCTAATTTCGCCTGCTCCTTCTCGAATTATGATACCCAAATGGAAATGCTTATTGTGTGGACATCTTGTGTCTGATTTTGTGTTATGAGGCCTCATTTGAAAGGTAAAACCTGCTAGTTTCTGAAAATGTATGTTACAGTTTGTTAGGAAGGACACAGTCTGCATTACAGCTTCTCAAACATGAGTCAAAGTTAGTTTTTTTTTGTCAAAAAAAATAAAAGGCAATTTCAAAAGGTTCTCCTGAAGACATACTTTATGGTATGATGTTCAAACTCACCAGAGCAGATGTTTGTGGTGTTGGAAACACCTGTATGAAATTTTAGACCTTTAGGTGGAACTATTTTGATGCTGGGGGCTTTTTTGTAACTAATGGGCACATTCGGCACAAGTGGTCCATTTTTGTGCCAACTGTGCCAAAGTGTTTTACATGCAAATTATCAATGTTTTTACATCAAAAATCCATTTATATAATTTTTTGGCTATTACTCTTGCTATAAATAGCATTTTTTCCAGTTATTGAAAGGTTTGCAGAAAAGCTATTATTTATATAGTTATAGCGCGTGTTCTCCGTGAAAAAGGCTCAGTCTTCCTCTTTACGCATTCAAATATGACGGGAACAGTGGGAGGAAGCTAGAAGTCCGACACATCGCCTGAAACCTGAGATTATTGGCTACAAGATGGTTTTATTGACATCCAAATCGGCCAATGGTAGTCAAGACAATGCTGTCGTGACGCACAGATATCTATGTGAATGGAGCGCTAAAGCTAGGTGCGCTTGTTTTACTCAACTTACTCTACCTTCCAAACCATAGCACTGAAAAGTTCGGGAATGGGCTTGTTTTGAAGGGGAGGCTTAGGGGAAGACGAACATACCCAGTGACGCTAGGTAAACAGTGAAATGTCCTCTTCATACAGTGCGCAAAGAACAGGTTTTATTTTTGTTTGTGCAACTTTCAATACTCAAATATGTTGTTACAAGTGGATATCTACTATAAGGATGACTTTGAAGAAAAAACAACTGGATATAATTATTCTCTAGACCCTAAAGAACAAAACGAATGCACACATGTGTGGATTAGACGTGATTTGCCCCAGAATATTAGCATGACAAGGTAAGAAAGGACAATATATATTTTAAATATATATACAGTTAGACTACTTATTCTTAATTTTGGTTATATTTAATGTTTATTTGAACATAATACGCGTTTAGAGGTGGGAATAAGCTTTCAAAAGAGATATAGCTTGACTATATTGACACACGTGAATTCTAATACTGATGCTGTTAAATGAAAAATAACTGAATCCTCCCTGTACAGGGAGGGTGATCCTTAAGAGGTTAAAAAAAAACTGTAATTTCCCCACTGTGGGACTTATAAAAACAAACTGATTCTCTGATAAGTTGTTGAAGAATCAATAACTTTGTAAAGTCCTCAGAGAATTGAATTGAATTACACCAAATATGTAGTAAAGACATTCAAAAGCTAAGCCGTGTCTTTTTATCTTGTTTCTTGCAGGTATACAAAGGGAGAGCTAGACATTGCGTACATCACATCAAGAATCATAGGTAAATGTTGCCTAAATGGTTTTATTTGTTTCTGATTTATTGATTTACACATATATATATATATATATATATATATATAAAATTTGTTTATTTTGTTTTATTAAATTTTACATCATATTTTTTTTCAATGAGACATGAATACACTGTGTATTTCCGCAGTGATGACGTACCCAGCGGAGTCGGTGCAGATCGGCCATCAGAACCACGTGGAGGACATCCGCTCCTTCCTGGACAGTCGCCATGCCGACCACTACACCGTCTTCAACCTGTCGCAGCGCAACTACCGCGGGGCCAAGTTCTCCAACAGGGTGAGGGAGACACAGTGATATACTAGTGTTGATTTGTATTATAATTGTTGTGAATGACATCCAGATGGATCTTTTCATAAGTTTTTCATCAATTTCATATTTTTTCTAATTAGAGGCTAATCTGAAATACTAAAACTATTACTATTTTTTTCATTTACAAAAATATATTGGTTTGGTTCTCTTTTGTGGTCTTGGAACACGGTTTGCTTGAAATAAATAAATACAAATCATAAATATATATATTTTTTAAACAGAAGTTAACAATTGAAACTAGTAGTAGTTCATACACAAGAAATAGGGATTGGTCCATAGGGGGCAGATGACCATGATGTCCAGAAGTGTTGATAAATGTCCATAAATGTTGAGTGTCCTGGATCATCACTACTGTCATTGTTGTTTAAACCTCACAAGACCACTGTGATGGAAAGTATAGACATCCTTCTAATCACTCATGTCATCAAAATCGCAGGATTTAAAGCTTTTGTCAGGCCATGTCTGCTGCACCCATTATACAGTGTATTGTACCGTGTGTATATATATAATATATATACCATGCTTTAATAAGTGTATATACTATTTTTCTTTACATCTGGAAAACTCTTCTAAGATGTTTCTATGGATTGAACTCGAACATGAAGACAGTGAAAAAAATTCTACTGTTCTACTGTTCTGTCCATAAATATAATTACTATCCCTTCGCAGCTTTATCCTTTATTAATCATTTATTGTTGGTTGTTGTTACCTGGTGAGGAAGTTGCATTGTAAAGAAGTACATTTCAATAGTGCATTTACTGTATTTGTGTTAAAAGTAGTTCTTGTGATGGTTGTCGCAGGTCTCCGAGTGTAACTGGGCTTCCAGACAGGCTCCGGGTCTCCACAACCTCTTTGCTGTGTGTAAAAACATGCACAACTGGCTCAAACAAAACCCTAAGAACGTGTGCGTCATCACCTGCTCGGTAAGCTGCATGCAAACTGTAAAAAACACTGGAATAGAAAAAAAAGAAGTTAATTAAGTAATTCATGTTTGTTTATATAGCACATTGTACAGACCAAGGTCACCCAAAGCACTTTACAATGTTCAGAGTCCAGATATTGTTCCAATCATTCCACACACGGTGATGACGGAAGCGAGTTGCCGAACACACTGGTGCATCAGCCCCAATCAACACCATCCATTCACTCTCTCATTCACATTCATACCTATTGTGCATGTTTTTAGTGGAAGGGGAAACCGGAGCACCCGGAGGAAACCTACGCAGACACGGGGAGAACATGCAAACTCCACTCAGAAAGGCCCTGTTCCGACCATAGACTGTATATATTAACGGACAGAGTCACGCCTATCTCCGCCGTTCTAACTAATGGGCCAAAAAATTTGCTCTACTGGAGCAATCCAAAATGGCCGCGAGTGGTCCCGCCCAGAAGAAAATTGTGAAAAAACGCATCTGCGCATGCGTCAGCCGGCGCAACTCCATTCATTTGAACGATGCTATATGTTAGCATTGGCTAATTCTTCTTCTGGGTCCACCCCCATCGGCCCGGGGTGGTATTGCAAGCATGCTGACATGCTTTGACATGCACGTCATTTTGGCCACTTTTGAGCTGGGACAATCCCCCACTGGTTCCAACCAGGATTCGAACCCAGGACCTTCTTGCTGAGAGGCGAGAGTGCTATCCGCTCAGCCACCGTGCCGCCCCACTGTGAAAAGAGAGGTTTTATGTAAATTAGAGAAGGTATGAGGATGGCCCAAAGTTTATGTAGGAACTAAATTTGCCCATCTAATTTGCCTTCTATGACTTTGTATAGTGGCGGTAATCAAAGGATTTTCATGACTTGTTTTCTTTCTTTTTTTTTGCTGACGGACATACAAATTACTAGGACATGAACACACAAACTGAACTCACGTTGATACTCAAGGGTCAGGGAAATTGTAAAACAGTGCAAATCATTGTGTGGCAGGGAGTTTGAATGATTTTTGACACCCTGCTTGACACAAATTATTATATTCTATTTTATTGTTGACTGGCATCGTGGGTTAAGAGATCTGGTATTTGTCCCACACTGGGGAAATTTCAGTGTTGCATCACAAGTTACAGACAGTAGGAATAAGGAGAACACTGCACAAGGTAAATGAATAATAACTCTATACTGAAATATATTAAAAATAAAATAAAATCTCTGGTATAACAAATCTCTATCTTTAGCATAATAAGGAAAGTAGTCATAAGAAAGAATCATTAGTTAAAGTTAAAATCTCAAGAAAGTTGATTTCCCACAAAAACATCTTCTGCTCCGGACAAACTATTTGAATCTAATATTTTTTTGTGATCTGGTGAAAGTGAAGAAATCTGGGTCATGTCTACCAGTGTGGTCTAGTTCTAGCAGTGTTCAGTGACTCGAGCTGCTGCCAATGGTTTGCCTTTGGCTTGGCAAGCTGCTCAGTGTTGCACAAGAGCTCCTTTGCTTCTCTGTAACCTCATGTGACCCAAAGCAGCTGAATATATTCAAATGTTCCGACAACATTTTTGAACGGTATATATCAGAATATGTTTAAAGTAGAGATTTTATGCTACTTTATGATGCTAAAGATAGAGATGTTATACTTGTTGCTTCTTCATGCTAGAGTTGGAGATGTTTTATTGTGTTTAATTTAGTATAGAGTTATTGTTCATTCATCTTGTGCTGTGTGCTCCTCATTCCTACTGTTCTGTAGCTGGTGATGCAACACTGGAATTTCCCCGCTGTGGGACGAACAAAAGATCTCTTCTTAATCCATAGATAAATATTTACTAATTCATATCGTAATATATGTAATCCATCTACTTTCTTGCTCTCAAAGCAGGTTCTATCACTATATTGCCTATGCACATATAATTTTTTGCCTTAGCCATCAACAGTGGCTGATTGGATAGCACTCTCAGCACTTGCATGTTCTCCCCGTGTCTGCTTAGGTTTCCTCCGGGTGCTCCGGTTTCCCCTACCACTAAAAACATGTAAAATAGTGCAGGGTAAATGAGTGTGTGTTTGTGAGTGCGAATGTGGGACAACGGATGCAAATTAGCCCAACAATAAATACATATTTTTCATACAGAAAAGTGAAAAAGTAGTGACCACCAATGCTCAGCTAATCAGCTCCCAGCCCAAAGCCTCAAATAGTGAATCACAGTTTCTTGTTTTCTAATGAGATGTGCATGTTGTCTAATCTTCTGTTTTCTTTCTGTTGTTGGAGAAACAAAATTGTTGTTTATGAAAAAAGTTAGGTTCCCAAGCTTTGATTTTGCCTATCATCCACCAGTCTGCCCCAGGGCAATAGTATCTTACCATCACCATGTGTGGAGTTAATGAATAATGTGGCACGTTAGCAGGCTTTGATGAACTGTAGAGCAAATGTAAAGGCATTATTTGTGAATGAAAACAACTTTGAGTGAGTAAATACTGCTAATACATTCTGCCCTTAAATCCAATTTCATATCGGGTTTTCCTTGTAATTCTTCCTCGTAATGCTTCTGTGTCTTTGTATGTGCGTTAGGATGACCGCGCTCCTTCAGGTGTCTTGGTATGTGCCATGTTTTGCTTCTGCCACCTCTTCAACAACCCCATTCCGTCAATGCAACTGCTCAGTGCCAAGAGGCCCGGCTCCGGTCTCTGGCCTTCCCACCGCAGGTCAGCCTCACAGCAACACACACACGCCTCTGCGGACACCACACACAGATATGTCATTGTTTTTCGGGTTCGGGGAAGAACCTATAATCTACAATAGAGCACGGTTACGTTTGTCTGCACTCTCTCCTCCTGCCAGCCCTTACACTCGCGGGAGCAAAGAAGGATGGTATGGAAAGATAGTGGCTTTATAGAATAATTCAGAAAACTTTACGGATAGTTTATAGTTGAGGAGTATAGATGGTGTATTGTGCTGTGCTGTTTGAATGCATGTTATTAACCGTTTAGGCACCATTTTATTTTGTATTATCTTGTGAAACAGACTCAGGATAGAGCTGAGAGACTGTATGAGAGAAAATATTAAAAATGTCATATGTTGAAATGAAGAAGAAACCCAAAATGCAGGACTGAAAATAAAGTGTAATTTAATATAGGTAACACAATTTCAGAGCTGAAAACGAAGTTGAGTGGATAGCTTTCTCGCTTCTCAGCAAGAAGTCTTTCTGAGTGGAGTTTGCATGTCTCCCTGTGTCTGTGTAGGTTTCCTCTGGGTGCTCCGGTTTCCCCTACCACTAAAAAACATGACTGAATGAATGAATACTTTTATTTCGAGCCATGTCAGACAAGAACAAGGAATAACAGCAATACAACTGAATAGAAAAACAAAACAAATAAACAATAAATAATAAATAACAAAAAGTCAGCTCGAAAAGGAGTGGGAAGAAGTTAAGACTTTTAAACTCCCACCCCCTATTAATTATTCTAATTGAATTAACTTAAATTATGGTTGCTATAGCTTAGCTTAGTCAGTGGTGCAGTTATGCAACAGTGATATTCAAGTTAATATGCCCTTGATTTATACAGTATATGTATAATAAGTTTATATTCTTGTTACCTTAATATTTTATATGAATTTAGGTGTCATAACATCATCATCACCACATATCCATATAATGTTCATGTTTATAATTTTCATTATCATGTATATTGTATGAATTAAATAGGATTATAGAATATTGTATATTTACTATTTAATAAATTATTACTGATCACTAGTGTTATACGTGAGTTAAATTTGATCATTGGTGCTGATGGGAGCAAGCTTGTATTTAGCTGGTGTTTTATTTATAAAGGGAGTCTCTGCGTCCACGGATCGGCCTCTAGAGGGAGCAGCCTGTGAGCTGCAGATCTTTGTTACGTGTCCTAATCTGTGCATTAAAAGAGACAGTATGTGGGGGTCCTCTGCCAGAGGGTTCCTCCAGCAGCAGAGCCCCCCTGCCTACCCTGTACTTTGAGTTCTGTGAGTTCTGTGAACATACTCAAATTGTAATCTCTGGCTACCGTCAGCACCAAAGCTTCAACCAGGATTAATTTATTTCTTTTCCAACAATAGATGATGGATTGATATGTGGATGTAATGACGCCCATAACAAAAATAATAATTTCTATAATACAAAAATAGTGACAATCAAAAATAAAAATAAAAAATACCTTAATAACCCCAATAAATGCCCTAATATAGACACATCATATTATTATTATTATTAGACAACATGCACAATAGTAAATTTCCTCCAGCTCCCTCCGGTTCTGACAAAGCATCTGGACATGTGTCCCCGGGCGCTGTACTACGGCGACTACTTCTCCTGAATCCTTGGTGGCATCAGAACAAATTTCCATAAGGGGATTAATAAAGTACAATTTATAAAAAAATAAATAAAATAAAAACATGCGGTAGAGACAATATGGACAGACAACAAGTTGGGAAAAGCACAGGGTATAAATACGCACAGGAGACACAGGTGAATCACATTAGGCGGGGCAAATATCAACAGGAGACAGGAAGCAAACTCAAACCACAAGAGAACATATATAGTCAAATAAAATGTTAATGTATTTCAATGTCAATGTTAATGCTCGTTGGTGCTGATTCTCTAGTCTAAATAATGCTATGGATGGAAAATTCTGTAATGTTTTTCAATGTGTGTGGAACCGTTTGCCCTTGCAGGTATATTGGCTATGTATGCAGCATGGTGTCAGAGAAGCCCAGCCTACCCCACTCCAAGCCTTTACTCATTAAAGCCGTCTCCATGAGTCCTGTCCCCTACTTCAACAAGCAACGCACCGGCTGTCGGCCATTTTGTGACGTCCTCATCGGGGAGACCAAGATCTTCACCACAGCACAAGAGTACGAGAGGATGAGGTGGGTGAGGCAATGAGGCAAATGGGTAGATGGAAGGGGAAATATTTTTAAATGGAGCAATATCCTTACAGACCCAGAATGTCAATTTTTTTAGCCGAAATGGGGGGAACTGAATTTGAAAAAATGCATGTGGTCAATGCCAATGTCAATATTTTCATAAAGAATATGTGGAAATGACAAAAGGTGGAGCTCTGTAAGTGTAAGAAATAGAGGACTTCTAAGATCAATTACAGAAATGAAGGAAAAAGTCATATGTGTCAGAAAAAGCTAAATGCTTTATGGAAAATATCCTGGTTTCAGGTGCTCATATGTTGTGTTATATTTATATATTTAGGGTTTCTTTTAAGGGTTATTGCATGAAAACAAGCATATCAGACCACACTGATTGTGAGAAAACCAATAAAAAAGAAACAATAAAAAGGAAATATTTACCGGCTACACCATGGATATATATAATAACATTAGGATAGGGTATAACTAGCTCATAGCTGTCCCACCTATGGGCACAGGGGGCGCCCACGCAACTGCCGACTAAATTCTCATGGGCTACTTTGAAAAATGTCCCATAGAAGTCAATGTAAACTAAAACAGCTGGACCTGAAAATAATTGCATATTTTCACATACTCTTGTGTTATGTCAAATGTTACTAAAGATCCATTGAAAAGTTCTGACAAAAAGAACACCGCAAATTAACAACATAGATAGCCCAGACCGGCCTTGAATAACTGCGGGGGGTTTCTTACAGTTACTCGTCATCTCATATATGTGTATTTTTCTCAGACCCCGTGTAAGAGACAGCATGCTGATATATGCAGTATATCTAAATACATAACTGTTCAGGGACTCCTCGCCGCTGTGAATACATTTGAGTTTTGTGTTGGATCCAGACTGAATCTTTAATTGCAGAGAGCACCGGATCCAGGAGGGAAAAGTGGTGTTTAATCTCGGAGTGAGTCTTCAGGGAGATGTGGTGATCGCTGTCTACCACATGAGGTCCACCATAGGGGGGCGTCTCCAGGCCAAGGTACGAGAGAGTCCAGTTACTATCATGACTTTCAGGATTAGTACTAATACACAGTGCAACAAGAAGCTACAGCATTTTGATTGCTGCTTTTTTGTAGGATGATAAAAAACTGCACATTTATACAACTTTGGCCTATACTGTATATATTCCCTTTTTTGTTATATAAAATTACAATATTTTACCTTTCAACATACATCAAATTACAATAACAATAACAAACAAAAAGGAGACTAAACCACAAAATTAAGCATAATAATTCAGATTACAATTTCCAGGATTCGGAAACTCTGCCAAATCAATTTCGTTTTTCAGTTAGACAATTTGTAAGAAAGTTTTTTTGTCCGTCAGGCTACATTTCTGATGACCATATACAGTATATCTTTAGTAATTTTGAATTTAAAATCAGATTCAGTTTTTTTCTCCCACCAACATAGCTATCCCATTTCATGTGAAAACAACATGGTAAACATGATAAATCAAAGACAGTATTTCAGAAGAAGAAGAATGTCCTTTATTTGTCCCACAGTGGGGACATTTCAGTTTGAATACACATATAAACATATCAAGGCATGCAACAAACATTTCTTCCACGCTCCTTATAGGTAAAGTGGGTTAAGTGTCTTGCCCAAGGACACAATGACAGACATCAGTAGAATCGGTGGACAAGGTCTCACGGTGGGCTTGAACCCACAACCTTCAGGCTCAAAGGCCAATGCTTTTTCCGTAATGGAGTATAAATAACACCCTTTAACAAAGCACTCTGTTTCCCCCAAATATTGTACTTTACAAAGAACAATAAGGAACAACTTCAATAGATTTTAAATATTGTTAAAGTGCACCTATATTGTTTGTACTCTGGGGCCGTGTAAGATTCTGTATATATTTATGGTACTAGTGCAATAACTTTAGCTACAAACATATATTTTGTATTTTGGATTCTCAGACATCCAACACCCAGATATTCCAGATCCAATTCCACACTGGTTTCATTTCTCCTGGAACCACAGTTTTAAAGTTCAACAAGTAAGTGTTCTGTCCACATTTTACTACAGTGAAAAGAGCTCCCACTTCCATTACCCTGGTGTGTTTTGTTGTGTGCTTGCAGACCGGAGCTGGATGCCTGCGATGCTGCGGAAAAGTATCCCCAGTTGTTCCATGTGATTTTGGACATAGAGGTGGAAGGTGTGGACAAACAGAAAGACCTGACCCCGCCCTGGGAGCAGTTCCCGTGTAAAGACCTCAGTCCAAACGTGCTCTTCTCCTGCCACCAAGAACACCAAGACGCCCTGGCTATCGCTGGTACAGTGATATATATAAATAAATATTTATTTATTTACTATTTAACTTCTCCTTTAAACCAGGGGTGTCAAACCAGTCCTCAAAGGGCTGGTGTGGCTGCAGGTTTTCACTCCAACCAAGCAGGAGCACACCAGAATACACACATTTCCTCAAGTGAGTCCAGTCTTGACTTGAAGCATTGAGTAAATGGTTGGAGTCTGGTGTGCTCATGCTTAGTTGGAATGAAAACCTGCAGCGACACCAGCCCTTTCTGGATCCATTATGACAGCCCTGCTTTAAACTGTATCGCCCAGTTTTCATAATGATTAAATGAACACAACAATGCAATATTCTCATTCCTATAATCTGATAAACATTTTAAACTTTTGCACCGTCAAGATGAAATGGAGGGCTTGGACTTGGAGGGTAAGACTAGACTAGTGCCCCATCCTAGAAAGTACACTTTTAGTCAAATTGTATAGATGTAAAATATATAGGATACCTTTAATACTCCTACTTTTGCTGAGCCCTTTACAAACAGTATGATAGTCACTCTAAGCATGTCTATAACGGCTGTGGTATTTCAGCATTTTACATTTACAGAGTAGAGTGGGACTGGGGCGCCAGGTTGGAGGTGGGAGATGATGTCTCAGCTGTGAGCTATGCCCCCATGCATTATGAGCGCTGATATTACATGTACAATCAAACGTGTTTGTAAAGGGCTTTGGAGTTATTGTTTAGTTTATGTAGAATGTCTTTTTCACCCCACCACCCATGATGTGACAGTGTGAATGTGGTGAGTGAGTGAATGGATAGTGATTCCAGTGCAGAGCTTTAAGCCATTATATTTGTTTATTTAATGAATACCGCTCAAAATTGTTGTCTTTAAATAAATAAAATAGTCTTTAATAAAAAAAAACTCACTAAAATATGCTTGAATTAGATTCAATTGATCATGATTTTAGTACATTTTGTCAGTCTTAAAACATGATTTGCCAATGGGACAAGCAAAGTTTCAGGCGTTTCAGTGGCATTAGTTGTGTAGCACATACCACACTATTGTGTGGAGTGAGAGGAAAAAATGCCCACAACAAAAGTGCACTGTGACCTGACTGTGACTCCGTCTGTGAAATGCACAGATAACGTACTCGCTTACTATTTCTCTTCTCAGTGAGAGTTGGCCTGTCTGACACTTTAGCTTTGTTCATTGTCAAATTTCTGTTTTCTAACCAACAAAATGTATATGAATCACAATAAAAACTTCTTGATTTTAGCATTTCCAACCTTATATTTCCTGACTTTTTACACTTAACATACGTGTTTGTATTCTATTATTTACTCCAACTCAATCTGGAAATATCCTTGTTAGTAACCCTTATTCAATTTTTGTTGCAAGGGATTTTTGACAGTTGTCTTATTTCTCGATAGAGCCAAGCCGACCAAAAGGCAAAGGAGAGGAGAGCGAGCCCTCGGACGATGAGATGCTGTCCTTGTCCAGTCAGAGGAGCAGCACCAGCACGGCCCCTTCCTCCAAACCGGACCAGCCTGTCCCTCCGGATCATGCCCCCCCAGAGGATGTAGACCTGCTGGGCTTAGGGGGAGAGGACATCGCTGCGCCCCGTTCCACCTCTGCAGCAGCTGGGACCACAGACCTACTCGGGGACTTGTTCGGAGCCCCCCCACAGCCCACCAGTGCCACCTCATCTGCTCAGTCCACTCCACAAAGAGCCCCGCCCAGCACTGCCTCCCCCAGCCCTTCACCCGCTCCAGGTAAGAGCTACAGACGGAGTCAATGTAGATGTTTTTATGGCTGGTGAGTCCTGGGCAGTATTGTGCCTGTAAACTCTCAAACTTTATACAAGGATAACCTTTTGATATATTGAATTATTGCTGTCACTGCTTTGAGTTAATTTTAGTTAACAACACTCTGTTTTCTGTCATACACAAGTAGTATTCAATTGTGTTTTTGTTATACATTTTCTGAAATTAAAATTAACAAGCGGGATTAATTTTTTACCTTTATTTTCAAAGACGAACAAACATATGCAAAATGACAACCAACAATAAACATGAAAACTAAACTCAAAGCTTAAAACTCAAAAGGACATTGACTTCAGTTGGCCTGTAGAATTGATCCACACGACAACAGTTCTTTCTTTAGTCTTGTGTTCTCAGGTAGTGGACAGATCCAAATATTATATCACTGTCTCACTGTTGGTGAATGAGGGGGAGTGAAGTGCCTTGAAGTAGACTCAATTTATTATGATTAACATTATGTACCGCCTTAAAACAAGATTTTCCAATTCAGGAGTTTCAGTGGCATTAGTTGTGTAGCACATGAGTGAGAGGAAAAGTGCCCACAACAAAAGTGCACTGTGACCTGACTGTGACTCAGTCTGTGAAATGTGCTACAGTATATAAATAAAGAGTACTTACCTGTACTTACGACTTCTCTTGTACTGTAAGTGAGAATTGGTCTCTTCAAAACAAGACATTTTAGGTTTTTTCACTACACATTTTTTGTTTTCTAACCAACAAAATGCATTTGAATTACAATAAAAACTCTTTAATTCTAACATTTCCTACCTTAAATGTCTTAACTTTTCACACTTTACATGCATATTTGTATTTTGCTATTTCCAACTCAATCTGGAAATGTCCCTGTAACAAAACATCTGAACAGATATCATGATATAATCCACTGTTGGTGAGACAGCGAATGAGGTGGGAGTAATCTGAGCATACAATGAACATGTCTGTCCTTCCCTGCAGCGTTCGACCCGTTTGGCGCGGGGCCCATGCCTAAGCCTCAGGACATGATGGGTTCTCTCCTCGGACCAGGTAACACGGGGCAACCTGACCCCTTCCTGCATGCGGCTCGCTCTCCATCACCCACACCGCAGCCCCCAGCTCTGGGTAAGGCATGCTGCGCTGCTTTGCTCTGCTCCAACAATGTCCATGAGTGTTTTCATGTCAAATTGTATGGTCACACAGAGGAATAGAATCTATATTTATCTAATCATTGAAACAGTTAATCATTTTGGTCTCATGCTGTGCCCAAAATGTTGCCAGTAGCTCGCCACCCTCTTTCAGGGAGGATTCTGGAATTTCACACATGATCCCGTATGATTTGATTTTTGAGTCAATGCATATCTATATCAACTATAAGTAATTTTATCACGCACACTTATGGTGGATTATACAGTATTATGACATATTGTACGTGGGTTCATGATTTGCTAAACTTATATAGATAATAATTGTATTACGTCTGCCATTTCTGTTGAGTAAAAGTAGCTCTCTGATCTCTGCTATAAACCCTTACAATTGAGCTTTCCTTTGCGTTACTATTAACACAAATAGACATTTCACAAAAGACAAGTTTATTTTTCTGGCTTGGAGAGTTAGAGAATGCTTTAATTTCACGTGGAAAGGTCTGGTAGCTTCAATTTCATGAATGTAGGTCAAAATAATAGCACTGTTAAAGAGGCAATCGCTGTCAAAGAGCTGACCTCCCCTCCAGCTCAATTTCAAAGCAAGGGACTTAATGTAATAATATGAAATTAACACACTACATTATTAGGAAACATATGTCTGTGTGTGTGTGTGTGGATGTGTGTGTTATCTAGGGGTGCATGGATCTGCATAACATCTGTTTGTTTCTTCTGCTGCCTGCTGAGAAAATGGCCTTATGGCTTTTTGCACTCTGTGAACTAATGCTGCATGAGAAATGCCATAGCAAGCTGTTGTGATCATCTTCAGTGGAGAAAAGAAAGCAGAGGCAAAGACTGTTTTATTTTGGTGTAACAATGCTGTTAAACGGTGATTTGTTTAGTTTGGAATCCTGATCATTGGTTGATTTTAAATGTATGAAATGTAAATGAACTTAGAATTGGCTTCAAATGTTAAACATATGTATAATGATCCATGGGTGTGACAGATTCTAATTCTATTGCTTAACTTCACAACCTTTTGGGCTTTTTGGGCTTTTTACAAACATAGCCTTTATGAACAATACAAAGTCATTCTCATCAAAGTGTATATAGCAAAGAGTATTATTTGGAAAACAGAGAAACAAAAGTCTTACTAATGTCACATTGTTTTGTTTTCACATTATTTTGACCAATCAGGTGATATTGGATCATTTCCAACAACAACAATATCTAAAGTCACACTCCTGTGCCAAAGCACACTGGTTTAAAAAACAATGGCGTGATTGGCCATAAAGATAAAGAATGATAAACTGATTTCAAGTCATTTTAAACTTGATTATGCAACAATTCAACACATAGAATTGCAGTCTCCATAGAGACGAGTCGGTGGCGACCTTGTCTTGGGAAAAGTGTATCTTTATGTCTGTTCTCAGCACGTCTCTGCCTCCATCTCATGGCACATCTCTGTTTGGACTGAGTTTGTCATTCTGAATGTGCTCTGTCAGTGACCTACTTTGGGGTTTTTGGACAGGGCGCAGCTCTCCGGTGCCTCCCACCACCCCCACAGTCAACATACAACAGCAGAACGCCATGGGGGGCTGGGACTGGAACAGGCCCGCCACCACAAACACAGGTACTCCCATAAACACTTCCACTCATAATAAACATCCAACTGCAACATTTACTTTTGTTTGACTTTTAATCTGGTTACAACATTGTTACCTTGGTGTCAAAGCAGACTCCTCCCAACTCCTCAAATCTTCAGGTTAAGACTGAGTTTACTTGAGGAAATGGGTGGAGTCTGCTCTGCTCCAGCTGGGTCTGATAGAAAACCTGCAGCCACAGCGGCCCTTTCTGGACCGGTTTGGACACCTCTGCCTTATATAAAGCAAAGCTGAAATTCCATCCACACTAATATCCAGACATTCTGGGGAAAAAAAGATCATGTCTCTGTCCTGTAATGATATGACATCACTATCAGAGCAGTTTACTTTTAAAATACAAGTATTCTTTTTCATTTTTTCATTTTTTCTGGAAAAAGGGAAGTAACTCCTCCCTCTAGTGGGTGAATAAGGACATTACATGCAAATTGCATTCCTCTTGAAACATCTACTAGTGCCATATATTTTCAATGTAAGAGATTTCTTGACATTCTAAAACATGAAATAACAAAGTAAAAGTGTCATTTGATTTGAATGGACAAAAACTTTACATAATTATTATAATGGGTTGTGCTTGTTTATGTATGTACAATCAGAAACAATCATTGTCACAGAACAAAATTCACAAACTACAAGCTTGTTATGTTCCCTGCTCCAGGAGGGGGCTTCGGCGTGGGCAGCCGGTCGGCCACCACTAGTCCCACCAGCTCCGTCCACAGCACCCCCACTCACCAGAACAAGCCCAACACACTGGACCCCTTTGCTGACATTGGAAACCTGGGTACGTAATTCATAATCACTTTTGATTTGTTCTGCAATGTTCTTGTGGAAGAACTGATTAACAGGAGGCGGACTGTGGCGTAGAACAGATTTACAAAGAGATTTTAGTTAAAAGCCCTCGTTCAAAACATCTTGAAGACATCCAAAATACCTTTATACCATCTTTGGGATGATGACAACAAACTACAATCTGCCTTTAAATAAACTGCTATTTTGGGACTCAAGCAGCTGCTACAACAAACCTACAAATTTAACATTGCATTTATCTTTACATATTTATATTGAGAAAGACACACTTATCCCGCTAGGATACGGCGGAACTTTTTTTGAATGTGTAAATACTATCTGCATCGTCTTCATGGTCTAAAAAAAAAAAGAGTACATATTTTTGTATATGTTTAATAACTATATGTTAGCGATAAGTTAACGATATGTTATAACGATATGTTATAACGATATGTTATAACGATATGTTATAACGATATGTTATAACGATATGTTATAACGATATGTTATAACAATATGTTATAGGTATATGTTTAATAACTTTACTTATATACCACATTCTTCAGGTGGATCAGGCTTCTCCAGTAAACCCACCACCCCGACTGGCTCCACCCCATCCTTCCCTCCGATGGGCTCTCCGTCGCGGCCCCCTCCCTCCCCGCAGCACACCGGGGCCTGGCAGCCCCCCACAGGAGCCGGGTTCCCGTCCTGGCAGCCTGGTGCAGGAGGAGGGGGGGGACCACCAGGGGCAGCATGGCAGCCACAAGCACCAGGCTCCACCCCCCAACCTAAAGCCAGCCCGAGCCACACTGCCATGCCCCACACCTCCATACCTCACACCTCAATGCCCCACACCTCGCCCCAGAACAGACCCAACTACAACGTGTTCATGGGCGGAGGGTCACCCAGCGCGGCGGGCAAAGCACAGGCCAACATGGGTGAGTATTGGGGACTTTGTGACTGTTTGTAATAACAATAATAGTCTTTATTCTAGATTCAAGGTCCATATAAAAGACAATACAAAGACACCACAAGACACAGAAATACAAAAAAAATAGAACATAAAAAGAAGCAAAGTCTGACTCATTTAAGAAGACGCTTACTGTATACCAGTGTTTCCAGAACTGAGATATGTAGTGTATTGCACTGAACTTAACTTTCACCAATACGACCACAACTTTATTCTCAGACTCGTTCAGCCGGAAAATAAACCTGCACATTGCATTCCTCAGGACAGATTTCAGTGTGTTCACTCTGGTGCTCACATCGATCTGGACTTTTTTAACAGCATCCTCAGAGCATCATTGAATGCTACCTGCAGTTTCTGAAGAATAGCTTTTCTATTGTTCAGCCATAGATGTGCAGTTGTTTACTTCTGGACCATTTACAAACTCAATGTTAAGATAAGATAAGATGTGCTTTATTTATCTCACAGAGGAGAAATTTACATGTCACATTTGGCATGGATAGAACACTCAGATTGTGCAAAAGGAGGAAATGTGCAAACATGTTACATGCAGGATATATATGTACAATAAAGTGACAATAATTATGTACAAAAGTACAAAAGTGACAAGTGTCAATTGGAAACAGTGTCAATAGTAGTGCAGGTTTTCACACAGTGATCATTTAAAGTGACTTATTGTACAGTCTGACAGCGGTGGGGATAAAGGCCCTGCGGTAGCGCTCCTTCCTACACTGAGGGTGTCTCAGTCTTCCACTGAAGGAGCTCCTCAGCTCCTCTACAGTCCTGTGCAGTGGGTGGGAGGTGTTGTTCATGATGGAGGTGGCTTTGACTAGCACCCTCCTGTCCCTCACCTCCTCCACAGAGTCCAGGGAGCAGCCCAGAGTGGAGCTGGCCCTCCTGACCAGCTTGTTCAGTCTGTTTCTGTCCCGCTCTGTGCTGCCCGGGGCCCAGCACACGGCAGCGTAGTGTATTGCAGAGGCTACCACAGAGTCATAAAAAGTCCTGAGCAGAGGCCTGCTCACTCCGAAGGACCTCAGCCTCCTCAGAAGGAAGAGGCGAGATGAGTAATAGGAATACAACTTTATAAACTTATTTGGCACATGCTGAACAAAGACTCTCTGTGCTGCCACTTTACTTTATTTATTTAACCTTTATTCAACCAGTAAGTCCTCTAAGATAAAGTCTCTTTTACGAGGGAGACCTGGCCAAGAACACCTTGGTAACAAATAACGTACATACACAAGCACAAACAACGACATTATAAAAATACATCAAATAGGTTAAAATATCCAGCTCAAGAGTAACATCTGCACATTTCAGTAAATCTCTCCCTCATTAGAAATTTTAGATGAGACCAGGGGACAAAGTTCTTTTAACTGTAACAAGTTTTGGATGATTTTCCAAGCCCATGGTGCCGCTGAGGAAAAGGCCAATCTGCCCAGTTCAATCTTTATCCTGGATAACTTATGGATGTAAACCACTAAACAAGTGACCATGTGTCCAGTTTACATATTTTGAAAAAGCTTTGTGAAGCATTTTTCCCCAAGTGACGCAAACTTGGTGCAGTTAAAGTGAACCAGACAAACATGTGCGTCGTAACAAACATCTCATCAACTGTAGTAAGAATTGGAAGAACTGCTAATTTACTCTGGTGTCTTTGTTGTTTTTGTATTCCCAGGTGCGAAGCCCAAAGCCTCTAATGCCAACTTCGACGACCTGCTCTCAGCACAGGGCTTCGCAGGGACTAAAGAGAAGAAGGGGCCCAGGACAATAGCAGAGATGAGGAAGGAGGAGATGGCCAAAGAGATGGACCCAGAGAAACTAAAGGTAGAGTGAATGGCTTTCCGCTCCTCCTGGACCAATGTCTCCTATGTGTTTGTCATAATTGCATTTCCTGTGCTTGAACTGTTTGATTTTCTGATCTGTGTCGCTGAATTGATAATTTTGTACAGTCCACTGAGATAACTACTGTTGTGATTCAGGGATATACATAATACATCAATTTAAATTGAATAGCTTTTATTATTTATGGAATAAGAAAAGGTTTTTGAAAGCAACGCTCGTCAATAACTTGATGGGATTGTGTCATGTGTGACGTGAAATTAAATTGGTCAATATTTCAAAAAATAATGAATAAGGAATGAGGAACAAAAACAAGGAATTGAATTGTGGTAATCCATACATTTCCCAGCCGTACAATGGAAGCCTAAGCAGTCCTGAGTTGAAGCGATACAATACAATTCAATTTGGAGAGACGAGAAAACAAGAAGCTTTTGAGTATTTTATTGGGAGGAGGTTTGGCGCCCTAGGCCCCGGTGCGGCCTTCAGATCGGAGAGGCTCCTGCGATGGAGCGCGCCAATCCCCCGGGACCTAGGCACTGGTGGCGGCATTTGGCAGCGGGAAGCAGATTGAAGGCAGATTGAAGGCAGGGTAAAGAGGAGGAGGAGGGGAGGCGGTGGTTGCAAGGCTTCGGGAGGCCGTGAAGTGGGAGTTTCTCTGCTTTTAAGCGGCTGCCTGGCCGGTACGGTGATTGGAAGGGGGCGTTTGCTGTGCGATAGGCTGGGGATGTGAACCGGCCTGGAGGGGGTAACTTTGGCTGACGTCTACCAAATTGAATTTCCGCGGGCTGCATTAATGTGCTGAGGGTTCATGGCGGTGACCTCTTTGATAATTTCCAGTCCCATTAAGACTTTTACTCATGTGGTTTCCTCTTTTCCCTTCAGATCTTGGACTGGATCGAGGGTAAGGAACGTAACATCCGTGCGCTGCTGTCCACCATGCACACGGTGCTGTGGGAGGGGGAGACGCGCTGGAAGCAGGTGGGCATGGCCGACCTGGTCACTCCGGAGCAGGTCAAGAAGGTGTACAGGAAGGCCGTCCTCGTGGTGCACCCAGACAAGGTCAGGATATAAACATATAAACCAGGGGTGCTCACACTTTTTCAGCATGCGAGCTACTTATAAAAGGATCAAGTCAAAATGATCTACCTACTACAAAAATGCAAATCATATATTTATTTCAAAAAATATTCTTTATACCTACAATGTATGTTTATGTACATGCAAAACCGCATGAGCCAATTTAGCACAACACAATTACCTATGTACATTTTTTGTCATTACCCGAGTTTACTCTTATGACTTGCACTGAATTGAATCGGCCAGGGATGCATAGTCCGGAAAATTGGTGGTAACTCGCTGACAAGTTTGTCGTGGTTTAGCTTTCCTGCACTGAGCGCGGTTGTTTGCGCATGTGCAGTCACCTAAGTGTCAGTAAAACATTACTGAGTAAAACACAGATGTCATTTTACTGTGGTGCCATGTCCATGTGCCATGCCTGTTTTTTTTTAAATCCAAATATTTCCCCTCCTCAGTTTATAAAATAATTTGCATCCACACATCTGCGTTATCAATCACATTCGTAACATTCCAAACATGTGCGTCTCTTACGTCCTGTCCTGCGTTGGGGAAAAACACAGAAGTGGGCGGAGCTTTGATGCAGACGCCGGTAACGGCACTTTTACAGTCATAGAAGACACTCAGAGTAAGACGTATGTTTACAAGCACTGACCCCGTCCTCAGCCCTGGTTTAGTCCTGGTTTAGTCCTGGTTTAGTCCTGGTTTAGTCCTGGTTTGGTTGTTTTCGAGCGTGAGTCCCTGCGATCACTTTGCTGCTCTCTGATGTGGAGGATGTTTGCTGCTGCGAGCATCTCACAGCGAACAGTTTTTAAGGTCGTATGATCCAGGCTTCAGTGATCAGAGGAATTTAGGGGGGTACTTTGGCGTGCGAGAACGCAAAACTCCGGTTATCTCTGTCTACACACAAATGCATTAACGGAGTTTTCAAAAATCTTGAATTTTTTGTATATATTCGTTTAGAATGTGTAATTTTTTCATTTATTTAATGCGATCTACCAATACTACCTTTGCGATCGACTGGTAGATCGCGATCGACGTATTGAGCACCCCTGATATAAACTGTAAATGTGTATCCATGTGCATTCTAGTAGTTATTTCATTTAGTAGTGTTCAGTGCGTTTTTGTGTCCTCAATGTGCACATGACAAGGAAGGTTTATTATTATTTGGTTATTTCTGTTCTATACGTTCATCTTTTGGAGTGAATCATGTAAAAACTTGAATTGTGCGTCTCACAATGCGATCTCATTAGTTCCACTCTGCTCTACTTCCTGGACATTAAAAAATAATCTCCAACTTCTTTATCAAAAACTGCCCTTATTCCTGTAAAACTACAATTTTAATTAAGGTGTTTTTAAACCCATCCATCCATTTTCTTGCGCTTTATCCACTGCCGGGTTGCATGGGCAGCCATCTAAACAGGAACACCCGGACTTCCTGATCCACACACACTTCCTCCAGCTCATCTGGGATTGCCGAGACTGTCCCAGGCTAGCTGACAGACAGTCTCTCCAGCGTGTCCTGGGTCTTTCCCAGGGTCTTCTCGCGTGGGAAAAATAAATAATTGAAGATACTATTTAGGTGTTCTGGTATTGGATGTAACTGTTGTGTAACATGTATTCAAACAAGCAAAGCACAGAATCTCAAGTGTAATTGTATCGAATTAGATTATTTATTTTGAACCAGCACAACACATATTTGTACATACATCACCATAGCAGACAAATAACAAGTACATGTAATGTATTTGCTTGAAATGTTTATATTCATCTTTTTCAAACCAGTTATGAAGAAAATCAGGAAATATTGCAAAGGAACTTCTTGGCACATGATACAAACAGAGACAGAACCACTATGGCCGCAACCACAATAATCAAACCCTCCACAATGCGATGCGTGAATGAGCCAAAAGTGGGCATCAACCAATCAAACAACGACGGCGCGCTTTTCTGCTGAACCGACTCGCCCGTTTTGTACAAGTGCTGCACAATATCATTTATGGTAGCGTTATACTCCGGCACAAACGTACAGCACTCTTGCCCGATGACTGCGCATGTCCCTCCTTGCGCTGCCAGGAGAAAATCCAAAGCCGCTCTGTTCTGCAAAGCCAGCAGCCGGACGGACGCCAGCTCACTTGACATCAGCTGTAGCGCCCTGCCGGTTTCGTTGGCTATGGCCTCTATGGCGTGGGACAAGTCTGAGATCTGATCCAGCGCAGACATGACGCCGTAGAAGGGAAGAAGGGGCCCCAGGATGTTTTTGATCGGCGATTGGTGATGCGTCCCAAAGATATCAGAAGTTCCGCGTTTGATTCTCTTCGGTTGCGTTTCCTTGGGGAGTCTGTGAGCGACGCGCATGGCCGGGACCACGTACGCCAAGCCGCATCTGCCGTTGTAATCCACGGGGAGGTACGGATACGCCAGGTTTCCACACACCCAGTACATGCCAACCGGAGACGAGATGGAGCAGGTCGCCGTCCTGTGATGACAAGAAGGTTAATAATTTAAACATAAGAACATTTTTTATCATCCATTTAATCAAGAAATGTCCAAAATATTTGTTTCCTTAGTGCTCTTTGTTTGGCCATTTTTACTACATTTATAAATGTAAAGGTGCACTTTACTAATCCCTGTAGGGCAATTCAATCCTCTGCATTTGACCCATCCTGATGCCGCTAAGGCTTACGTTAGGAGCAGTGGTCGCCGTAGCACAGCGTCCGGGAACCCATCTCCAGATGTTCATGCTCAGCTTGGTCAGGACCAGAGCTGGAGGATTTAACTTAGTGAGCATGTTTTTAGTGGTAGGGGAAACCGGAGTACACGGAGGAAGCCTACGCAGGCACAGGGAGAACATGCAAACTCCACTCAGAAAGACCCTGTTCCGACCGGGATTCGAACCCAGGACCTTCTTGCTGAGAGGCGAGAGTGCTATCCACTCAGTCCAAGCTGCCGTGTCGACAGTGAAAGGAATCAACAATAGTCCGTAGCATCAAAAAGTTACTTTTTGTAATTATGCAAAAGATAAATTGTTGTATAATAAATTGTCTGATTTTCTTTGAATAACTTTTTTCTGTTGGGGCAAACACAATATATTATGAATAGAGAAAAAAATAAACTTGAACATATGTAAATGACCACTCATTCCAAATCACTGACAGTACGTTTTGATGAAATGCACATTTCCAGTATTTTCTCCGGTGTTCTAATGGCACATGTTCAAGATAAAATTGTAATTGATGATTTTTGCGTTATGTACCGACCTTTTGAACGGTCAAATAGTTGAACAATGATGACATGTTACACACAGAATACTTTTCATTGCAAATACTCATTGGTGTTTTTTCAACAACATCTAAGAGGTCTTTCTCACCTGTGAGCTAAGGCACTGAGATGATCCGCACCGGCCGCAATCAAGCACTGGTCCGGCGGCACATTTGAAGCAGGGAACTCTTTCGTGACCTGTTCTGGCTCCCACCGAAAAGTTCGCACACATGCCGACTCGCCCACCTCCGTCTTACCGTGGCTTTCCAGGCACCACTGGAATCGCTGGGGTATAATCTGTACGGGAACGGGCTTGGGGGGTTCTGCACACTTGTTGCAGTTGTTGGTCGCCACCGAGCAGTTCAGCGGGCGCATTTTAGACATTTTGGGACAATCCGGGTGTGCGTACGGTCGCGGGGCGTGGACGTGGAGAAGATGGCACGTGTCGCAATCTGAAGCCGGCAGACCCATGAGAGGCAGCCCTTCTCCCGCGGTGTAAGGCATCAAGCCGCACACGTAGCAGCTGGAGTTGGGGCCAATGTGGTTCGCGACTTGCCACGCCATGGTCATAAAAATGTTCATGCCATTTATTTTGTCGTCATCTCTGGCGTGCCCTGGCGCTGCCGCGGTGGAGATCACGCTCAGAAGCAAACATAGGATGGAAGTGGCAAACATCGGGTTGGAAAGAATGCTCCAAAAATAGACAAACTTCAATGGAGGTTACCTAAAACAAGACACAACATTCAAAATCACCTTTATCTCAATGCAATAGATAAGAATAGACTTTTCAAGATCTAATTAATGTAGTTATAACAAAGTTCACTTGTCATCTTAAATGTTGATGGATGGATGTTTTAGTAGTCCTGGATTCAGAGCTAAAATAAATGTATTTCTGTTTAATGTGTAACTAGCTTTTGGCCAGGACTCCCTTTAAGCTCAATGGGAATTTTCCTGGTTAAAACTTGGCCATCAATCCAACCAATCAGACTCGAGGTCAAACATTCTACAACATAAGAACATAAAATATATTGCTTGCAGTGCGTTAAAGATCATGTGTGGTGTAGTTTATTGAATACTAAATACCCCCAATGCGTCTTCTGGAAGCCTTGTTCAGATGCTTCTACGGTATTGTTTTTTATTTGTTGAAGATAACAAAATTGTAAAATAATACATTTTTCTTTATCTTAAATTCAGTATTCTCCTTTTTTTTCTCAATCCACTGGCATTCCATTCGTAACATAATAAGTAGTGAATATTGGTCCATTGCCAAGTAACAAAACTAGTGACTATCGTGCATGTTTCTAAACTCTAGAATTAAAACTGGACCCGTTACATTTCCGTTGGAATTGACAGAAATAATTCACAATAATAAAGGTTTGTGTGCTTACCTGTTGGTATGTGTAGTTTGAAATCCTTTTTGACAAATGCGTAAAAGTGCTGTGTGCTTTCATATGTAAGCTCTATCAGCCAATCAGGAATCAGAAACAAGACTGAGTTTGAATGAATCAGGCGTTTTAATGACATTACTGAGTGGATTAGATGATCAATAGCAGACTTCTTCACAATGTCATCACTGCCACAGTACTCTTGATAAGTGCATTCTAAATAACCGGCCGGAATGTAAAAAAAAAAAGTGTAGATTTGTAGTTCAAATCTACACTTTTCAAAAATAGATATAGTTCATAGTATCAATATAGTTAAATTTATTTTTGCATAGGCCTAAATCACAATAACAGTCTCGGAGAACTTTACACAAACAGTTTGAACACTGAAATGCAATAATAACAAACACAAGGAGCCATTGCCCAGGTTTCAATTGTCTTTAAAGGAAAAATGTATCTCAATCAAAGGAGTCGATCTGTGAAACAGTCTGGATTGTAAATATCAAAACTTCTACGTCTGATTTTATGTTTAAAAAGTCTGTAAAATTAATCGATGTTGCAGAAATACATCACTGTGGATCAGCTGTAACACACATTATACGTTTATACTTCTTTCTGCTCCTTTTCATTCATGCTAAATGCTGTTGTTGCATTGGTTTTTAAATGACAAAAAAAATAATAAAAAGGAGCCATTGGTCCATAGGGAGCGGGATGACCACACCATAAATGTTACTAAATATCACTAAATGTCCCGGATCATCACTAATCATCCAACTTTTTTATTACAATTTTGTTTTTTTTATTGGGTTGTAAGTTTGGTTCCAGCACTAATTAAAAGGTAAAAACTTATAAATTTAATCTTTTTTTCTTAAATGGTGAAACAGTTAAAACGACTGAGTGAAGTTCTGTGAGTTCTAACCAACTCAGAATTGTGTGAGTCCTAAATCTTTGTTTCTTGTTTTCCCGTCTCGACAGGCGACAGGACAGCCCTATGAACAATACGCCAAGATGATTTTCATGGAACTAAATGACGCTTGGTCGGAATTCGAAAGCCAAGGACAGAAACCTCTTTACTGATCGTCTGTCGCCTCCGGCCATCACCCTGCGACGTCCGCCTCCTTCTGTCCCGCTCCCAACCATCTCATGGACAAGGGACCAGCGGCCGACATGACATTAGCAGCTGCAGTGGAAACAAAGGTGGATATTAAAGACGATACATAGGATATTTAAGTACTGTAGGTATGTGTGCAACTACTCCTTTCCTTTTTCCGACGCCTCCCAAACAAGAGCCCACCAATCAGAGCGGAGCATACCGGCATGTCCTTGTCACGTGACATATGACGGAAGAATTTTGTTGTAACAGGAAGTGTAGTTTTTCGACATAGATCAAACCAGTTCATTTGTAGTCCTTTCAGATCAAGAGCCGAACCATTTCAAAAAGTAGAAGTCTGGTCAAATTATTTTGTATTTTCAAAAGTATTGTTCTGTTGGTCCATCAGTTTACATGTCAAGTCTAAAATCAAGATAAAATAATCAAGATGAATTTAATTTTATTTTAATTTTGGAATGACACCGGTTTGAAGTATAAATAATAGTAAAACTCCAATACATTTGTGAACGATGCATTTAAAGTTCGGGCTATTTAAAAAATAAATAAAAATGTAGGGATTTTTTCTGGTTTCAACTAAGGACAGTATATTTTGTGTCCAAATGATCAGAGTGAGTGGTCAAAATTCCCTATACACAAAATACAATATGTAGATTGAATTAGAAAATGTATTGAATTCTGTCGACATAGTATTACTTTGAGTGGGTCGATCATAACAAGTCAAATGAATGGAACAAGTGTTTTTTTATTAAGCGCAAACATAGAAAAAAACTGGAATAAATCAAGAATTTGTTTGACAATTCTTGTAATCTAGTTTACAATTTTTGCAGTCTATTCTCCAAGATTAGGAAAAAGATTATTTGAAGGCAGCTGGTGTGAATATGTAACATTATAGGTAGATTACGTTGTTATCGCAAATACTTAAATTTGTTTTCAATATGAAAATGATAATAATAATAGAAACAGATTGTTAAAATATCGTTTACAGTTCCACTACATCATTTCATGAACATAATGAAAGCACAATGCAGCTTTGAAATGTATTTATTTTGTAACTTGTTTTCAAAGCACGATTTTTACTTTGGTAACTGGAACCGTCTGGCACCATATCAAACATGCAATAACTGTTCTGAAAGGATAAAAATGTCAAACAAATTCACTGGTGTTTATACGTTTCTTTAATATCTGGCAACTGCACGGACACTTTTTACTATTTATTTTAATCTAAATGCAATATCGTAGTAATGGAGAAGTCTGATAGGTCCAATTTCACATTCATACTCGCAAGGTTTCTGTAATACTGCTGTTTTCTGGTAATTTGATTTTATAATATATTTTGTAACAATGTTAGTTGGTTGCACAATGGACCCAAGAAGCAGGAAAGTCTTATATCAAATTGTTCCCCTCCTCTATCTGCTCTCTGCTCTACAGCTACATTAGCCTCTGTAAACGGTAGTCCCAGGATGTGAGCTGTTTGTATGGGCTGTATGTTATGTGTTTGCCTGTCTGCTGTTCAAGTATTACTAAAATAATGTGTACATGTGTCCCTTCTCTTCTGTTTACAGGATGTACATATTGACAAAGTGCAGTGCACACAAATAAAAGGAATACTGGACGAATGATGCAGGCTTGTAATTCCGTTATTTTGACCACTAGAGGGCAGCATTTAACTATTTAGATGCGACTTGTCTTTCCAAAACCAAGACCCAAAACCACACTATTAAGAAGACAAAATTAACTTTTATGAGGGAGTATTAAATGAGTGTTTGGTTTTAATAGCACTTTTCAATTGCCTGTATTTACAAGTCTGGAGACATCAGGGTCATTTCATTTTTGTTGCTGTTTTAAGCCACAGTTTTAAGCCACACCATTGTTAACATGTGTTTTTTCCTGCTTGGATATGAGTCAGACTTGTACCACAGTCTATTGTCTTAGGGCGACAGTAGCTCAGTTGGTAGAGCATTGGCCTTTGAGCCAGAGGGTCGTTGGTTCGAGCCCGATCTTCACCATTGACTCCCACTGTCTGCTGTTGTTGTGTCCTTGGCAAGACACTTAACCTCTGGGAACACCTGATGCGAAAGTGGGGCGGCTGCGGCTGTAAAGTGTCAAACTGCCATTGTGTCCTTAGGCAAGACACTTCACCCCCATTGCCAAGAATGAGTCTGGTGTGTGTGTGAATGGTTAGTGGTGGTAGGAAGGGCCGATGGCACATACTGGTTGCCTCGCTTCTGTCAGTGTGCCCCAGGGCAGCTCTGGCTACAGTAGTAGTTTATCACCACCGTGTATGGAGTGAATGAATAATGACATGTGAAGCATCTGAGTGTCCAGAAAAACGCTATATAAAACCAATGCATTTTTATTATTACAGTGTTATGGTATGACATATTTGAAGAAAACAAATAACACATTGGTCAAATGGATTGGTAACATGAGATTTCACAGCCAAAATTGAACCACGGCAACTATCAAGTCAAGTTATGAAAAGTGTCTATTTACAACTGAAATCTACATAATTGTGATTTCATATGGTTTTTGTGAATGTTGTGTTTTCGAAGAGATCCCAAAGACACCAAATAGATGCCCATCTTCCAAAGTACACTGTGTTCTATTGACAAAACATCAGGGCTCAAAGTTTTCCAAGTCATTCAGCCTGACATACAATATTCAATAAAGTCAATGTATACAGTGCCTCTGGTCCACACAGGCTTTGGTTCTAGATTAAGCTCAGTTTGATATCCATCCATCCATCCATTTTCTACCCTTTAATCCATTTCTGGGTCAGGGGGGTGGCAGTCAGAGAAGCCACCCAAGTCTTATAGCACCAGCCCCTCACTGACCCTCTGCAGGTGGTGAGTCCACAGGAGGACGGCTGCTCTCTGAGTGTGAGCATAGCCTTGATCTTTCAGTGGGGGCTTTGGGCAAAGTGGGGTTAAGTGTCTTGCCCAAGGACACAACGACAGCAGTCATCAGTGGGAGTCGATGGAGAAGGTGCAGAGGTGGGAGTTTGATATCGATTCATTTAATTGTATCCTGTTGTAATCTCCTAAACTCCTAAAACAAATAATTCCTATTTACAACAGTTGAAATTGTTAATTAGATTCTGTTGTAGACAAACCGCAGAACTTTTAAGAACAAATTGTCGGATGGGTGAACAACTTTTCTTTGTTTTGAATTATCACGTATGA